TGTAGGAAGAGGTTAGGCAAGTGAGCAAGAGAGTTTGGAAATGTATAGAACTTGTATTGCTTGAGAGGAGAGATTACAACTTGGTTGCTTGGTGAGGAGCAAATGAACTCCCACCCCCTATTTATAGGCCTTTGGCCTTACAAGAACATTCTAGATGTGTACAAATGTGTGGCCTAGATTTAGTGTCTAGAATCCTCCAGAAATATCTACACAATTCTAGAACTATCTACTATGTACAAGACAAGTCTAGAGAATTCTAGAGAACTCTATACAACTCTAGACAAGTCTAGAAAAGGCTAGACAACTCCACACTAATCTAGAGAATTCCAGAAAGTTCCATACTTGTGTAGAGAAGTCTAGAAAGCTCCAGTCCATGCAGGCTCCATGTCATCGTCTGCTGGGCGTCTGCGTGGCGCCTGCGTGGCATAACCTCTTGGTAGCGGGGTGTGACATCATGCTCCCATATAATAAATGATACATTAAAGGTTTGTTGTTTCATATTAATGCACATGTAATGAGCAGGAAATTCAATGCATGAATTACATATGAGCATATTAAATGAAGAGAAGAGCCATGAATCTGTAAAAAATTAAAAACTATGTTTTATTACCTCACAGAAACAAAAACAAACGGAATTTGCCCATTAGGGATTATACATTTGGGCCGACAAGCTCACCATTCACCCCAAAGAAAAAGGTAATTGGGTTATATTCCAACGAAGGGGATGTGGGCAATGTTGGCCAGTAATCACCTCCATCCTCCAAGCATCTTTCTTTAAGAAGTGGACATTTATCAGTCTGAAAGCTTTGAAGCGTGGAAGGCAGGCCTTCATTTGGCAAGGATCGAACTTAGGGCATTCCTGGATATATGTGTGTGTGTGTGTGTGTGTGTGTGTGTGTGTGTGTGTGTGTTGAAGAGAGATCAGATTTTGGAGGCCCTTTAATGAAATGGATTCCAGATCCGGCAGACATTCGATACATAATTCACTTAGAGTTACGGGAAGTAGATAGTACTTGTCATTGTCATTGTAGTCATCTTCTTCTTCAAAAAAAGGAAAAGAGACCAGTTCTGGATATCCACATTGAATAGAGAACCGTCGAAGAGAGGTGAGTCTGCGCAGACCCCACTCTGACAACGACTTGAGTACTTTCCCGCAATTACCAATAGAAAGTTTAATTAGGTTGTGGGGCAAATTCCAATTCCCTTGACATAAGGACGTCTCAAGACCTGGACAACCACATATATTGAAGGATTCTAGGCTTTGAAGAATATGATCAAAAAATGACAAAGACCTCAGAATTGATTGTTGGTAAATATATGCTTCATGTGACATTTAAGATATAACAAATCTTATACTAATATGTCATGAGATAATTAACAATATGCTAAGAAATCATTAATTAAATATGTAATTCTATATTTAATTAAATATGCAAAATAAAGTAATAAAATAATAATAATAAATAAAGAACCTGGACCGAGGCTAGTATTAAATACTATGTCCTTAAGACAGATTCACCCTGCTGTGGTGCTAACGAACTCAGTGGCGTCTATCTCCCAGGATACAACGGTTTACATCCACCAGTAGCAGCACTACAAACTCGTGGATACGGCGAACCTCCTCCGTGTAATACTCTCTCTGACTCAAAAATGCATCTATACTATATAAATACCGAATTGGGTGCAATCCGAACCAAATGGTTCGGACTAATCTTAATATGGCTCGATGAAATTGGATTAAGGTCTAAGTGGCTTGGACCACTTAACCTATGGTTTGAACCCACTTGGGTTGGGTTTAAGTCTAGAGAGGGAGATAAAAGATAATGAAAATAAATGATTTGCAAATGATACAAATGGGGGTATTTATAGGTAACAAGGTGCCTTTTCGGATTGAGTGCAACCCTTTGGAAAAAACTAAAAAGTAGTTTTTAAGTAAGGTGCCTTTACAGATTGGGTGTGTCTCTTCATCATTGGACACAACCATTTATATGTGTCTCTTCACACTGGACACATCTACTCTAATTGGTTGCAATGGTTCACATGGTGTCTGTTCACCAATAGACACATCCACTCCAATAGGTTGCAATGGTTCACATGAATAGTTATGTCTGTTGGTTTTGAGTTGCAACCCTTTAGAAACAGATGCAACTCTTTGAAAAATAGATGCAACCATTTAGAAATAGATGCAACCCTTTGGAAAAAAACTAACTTTTAATTTAAATTCAAAAACTAACCACCCATTTAAATAAGCCCAGCCCAAAATTAAAGGCTCAATCTAAGATTCCATTTAGTAAAAAGAATAATTGGACTTTATAATTAGGCATATGCAATTCTATATTTAATTAAATATACAAAATAAAGTAATAAAATAATAATAATAAATAAAGAACCTAGACCGAGGCTAGTATTGGATACTATGTCCTTAAGACAGATTCGTCCCGCTATGGTGCTAACGAACTCAGTGGCGTCTATCTCCCAGGATACAATGGTCTACATCCACCAGTAGCAGCACTACAAACTCGTGGATACGGCGAACCTCCTCCGTGTAATACTCTCTCTGACTCAAAAATGCATCTATACTATATAAATACTGAATTGGGTGCAATCCGAACCAAATAGTTCGGACTAATCTTAATATGGCTCGATGAAATTGGATTAAGGTCTAAGTGGCTTGGACCGCGTACTTAACCTATGGTTTGACCACACTTGGGTTGGGTTCAAGTCTAGAGAGGGAGATAAAAGATAATGAAAATGAATGATTTACAAATGATCCAAAGGGGGGTATTTATAGGTAACAAGGTGCCTTTTCGAATTGGGTGCAACCCTTTGGAAAAAACTAAAAAGTAGTTTTTAAGTAAGGTGCCTTTACAGATTGGGTGTGTCTCTTCATCATTGGACACAACCATTTATATGTGTCTCTTCACACTGGACACATCCACTCCAATTGGTTGCAATGGTTCACATGGTGTCTATTCACCAATAGACACATCCACTCCAATAGGTTGTAATGGTTCACATGGTGTCTGTTCACCAATAGACACATCCACTCCAATAGGTTGCAATGGTTCACATGAATAGTTATGTCTGTTGGTTTTGAGTTGCAACCCTTTAGAAACAGATGCAACTCTTTGAAAAATAGATGCAACCATTTAGAAATAGATGCAACCCTTTGGAAAAAAACTAACTTTTAATTTAAATTCAAAAACTAACCACCCATTTAAATAAGCCCAGCCCAAAATTAAAGGCTCAATCTAATATTCCATTTAGTAAAAAGAATAATTGGACTTTATAATTAGGCCTAAGCCCAAGCCCAAGCCCAAGCCCAAATTTAGCTTATTTAAATTTCAATTAGTTTCAACATTTTTTCCATGTGGGACAAACACTTCCCACATTTTGCATACCCATTTAAGCTTATCAAAACACTACACTTTGGAGCTAATTTCTCATTCACCCGGAAACGGATTTGAGAAAATAAATATACCACATTCATTTCCTTGCGGAAAGAAACGCGCTCATCTAGAGATCCGTAAAAAATTATTAGCGGAATCTATTCCAAACCGTATCCAAAGTATGCCCCCGTTTCCAACATTGAGCAATTTCAGATTACAAGCGATCGGAGGTTGGGGGGAGACAAACAGCTTCCACTTTCCGAGAAGGACTCCAGACTTTGACAATCTTGTATATCAAGGAATTCAAGGCTTTGAAGAATCTGGTTGGTCGCAAGCAAGGATCGGAGATTCATGCAATTCCAGATATTAAGTGATCTGAGGTTGGGTAAGCCTCTTTCTCGGAAGGACAAGGATTCCAGACCATCGCAACTTTGTATCCACAGTTCACGGAGAATAGCGAAATTATTATTATTTACGCAACCCCCAACCCCAAATAACATTCCAACCTTTAGCCAATTCCAGATGTGTAACTCTTCAAGTGAAAGCATACTTATATTAATGTTGTTAAAGTCCTCCTCCTCCTCCTCCTGTTGCTGCTGCTGTAGCATTATTGTTGTCTCGGAAACGTTTGAGAAGTACTCCAAATTCATGCAATCATCAGTATGCTTCTTAAGCGCAGTGGGTAATGTTTCAGTGGGCCAGCACCTCAATGATGAACAACTTGCAATATTCAGCTCTTCAACACTCGAGATGCCGTCAGGTAGGGACTTCAGCGCATTGCAGTTCTCTATCCCAAGTCTTCAAAGTGTGGGTGGGACACCTGTCTTTGGAAACTGCACAAGTTTTGGACACCCAATAATCTTCAAAGATGTGAGAGACATGAGGTTATTCAGCTCATTTGGCAACTTCTCAAAATTCACACAATCTTCTTTGTTCAATTCCTGAAGATTAATGCAAGGTAGCCCTTCATCATTTAATTCATCTCCAAAGGAAACAAGTTTGGGGCACGACGCAACGGTCAAACTCTGTAGATGGACAAGATTATTTTTCTGTGTAATCCCCCCACCATTTTGCCACAAAGCCATCAGTTGGTCGCATTCTCTGAACTCAAGACTTCCAGTGCTCCAAAGGACTGCACCACTGCTTCCCCAAGGTAAGATAGCCCTACAACATTGTCAACTGTCAACCAGGTTAGTGTAGTTAGATCAACAATACTGTCCAGCACCACCTCGTGACACTTTAATCAACTTGGGACAACAACGTATTGTGAGCTCATGGAGGCAAGGGAATTGTCTTCCAGCTTCTTCAACACCAATTGAAAGAGAAGAAAACCATTCTTCCCATGCTGGCATGTCCTCAAATATCAGTGTCTCCAGTGATGGAAAAGTAAAACAATCCCCACAGACCTCAGCCCCCAAATTTTGTACTTCATGCATGCCTCGAATGTGCAGCTCTTTCAGTATGGGTAGTTGCCCCAGTGGTGGTAAACATTTGCATTTTCTACAACCTTCCAGGTTCACCATTTTAGAGAATGATGGATCACCTATCCACCTTGGAAATTTTGTGCCTCCGTAGAACTCAATTTTAAGTCTTTTTCATGTTTTTGTGAGATTATAGCTTGTCAAGTACATTCATTTCAAGGTTTTCATTTCGAAAACCATTGAAGTCACTACACCACACCAGCTCCAATTCATCAAGGTCCTGCTTAACCCTCAAATTTGCCTCATTTGCATCTCGAAGATCCATAATATTTTGCAACTCTGTAATAGAAATACTCCCCCGTAAAAGCCTCTGATTTCTTAATTCTTTTACTCCTAGCCTATCATTTTTGCCCACAACGAACTTTGACATTGTTTGTAAATTCGTCAATCTACCATCCCTGAGGGGATCTCTCATAATTGCACAGTATCACTAACGTCAAGATGACATAGTTTAATTAAATTTTCAATGTTTAAGGGCAACATACAAAGTTTTTGGCAACTGTGCAATAATAGTGTTGGTAAATTGTAAAGATTACTTACAGATTCAGGTAACTGATTGATTGAAGTCCTAGATAAATTAAAATACCTTAAATGTTTCAAATCACCAATTGAGTCCGGTAGCTCGGTTACGGAATAACCAGAAAAAGACAGCACCCTTAAACATTGTAACTTTGGGAATATATCAAGCAAAACCTTGTTTGCCAAGTAGCCTCCTCTAGTACCCGACAATGGTAGAAAAGTTCGCAAATGTTGCACTTTACAAAGAGGCATGAACTTCTGAAGTACTTCAAAATGTTGACGAATATATGACAAGTGCCGAGCTAATTAAGAATTTCAAATTGGTTATCACCCTCCAACTTATCTAGCATATATCCCCAACAACATGTAGAGCTAGATCATTTAGAAGGTAATGCATTACAAACCGTGATTTACTACAACCTGATTCTTAGAAAAACCACCTTGATAATAGATCATCAAAACATTCCTCGCCAAAATCTTCCATCCGTTTCTTTTCTTTTGATAGCTGCAGCAGACCTACCCCCATCCATAACAGAATTAGCTCATCTTTGTCAAATTCAGTCTTTTGGAAATATTGTACAGTAAGCAAAACACTCCTTTAAATGAGAGAGGAGATGATGATAGCTCAATCTAAGAGCTGGAAGAATACTACTTCTTTGTTGGGATAAATCCCATATCTTGCTATTCAATATATTCTCCCACTCTCTTTGTCGTGATTCATTGTGCAAGAGGCCTCCTAGTGTTTTTGCTGCCAAAGGCAAGCCTTTACATTTATTCACTATTTCTTCACCAATTCCTTTCAGATGTGGATGTGCATCAAAGTTTGCTCTCCCAAGTGCATGATGAGCAAATAAAGAGAGACATTCATCTTTCGACAGCTCATTTAGAGGGTAAGCCAGGGAAGGACGCATAGTTGATGTAATTTTTGCAACCTTTCCAAGGCGAGTGGTGACAATAATTTTGCTCCCAGGTGCCCCATGCATAAAGGGAAATCCCATTCTTCATAATTCTGGTTATCCTTTAGTTTTTGTTGAAGCATATTCAGAGCTTCCAACTCATGAGTTTTCGAAGTGACCGCCTCAAGAATTCTCCTTGTCATTCTAAGAACATCAAAATCATCAGAAACACAAACCCATGCCTTCATATCAAAAGGACCCTCTAAACGTTCGTCATCATAGACCAACTGAGCTAGAGTTGTTTTACCAATACCACCCATGCCCACAATGGGAATGACACAAACTTTGTCAACACTAGCTTCCTCCCTCAACTACTCCTCAACTATAGCCTTTTTATCTTCTTCCCTGCCATAAACATCACATTTGTCTACCAAAGAAGTCGTTTCCCGCCTTTTTCTTACTGTGTTAAACCTAATCCCTCCAACATTCTCTTTCAAATCCAGAATATTCTTCCGGGTTTCAATATCTTCTAATCTGGTGATGAGTTCCTCTACTTTAGCCATCATACTGCTACCAAGCCTAACAGCACTAGGAGGAGTGAAGCATGAGCAACAAATTGGGAATTTGGGATGAGCTTTCGTACCTTACTAGTACTGCTGCTAGCTTCAGATTCTGCCATAATCAGCTCGCATCGCAAAGTTTGAGTAGCGAAATCGTCGAGCAAATCATCCAAATCATAAGCCAAGTCAGTGAGATCCTCCATCCACGATTTGACTCGATCATCTGTGGTTTGCTTCTCCTCAGCGTTGGCGAGAACAGCCCGAATATCCGGCAACATTTTCTCCAATTTCTTCAACTGACGATCGATTCCCTCTCGACGGGCATAGTTTGACACTGAACCAGAGACCAATTTGTCAAGCAACACCTCAATGATCGGCCCAAGAAGGATCCCAACAACCTCCATCGATCGTTTCTGAAATCAAAGCAATACCTAAAAGAAGAAAGAGATGGGTCATTTTCTGAAATCAAAGCAAAGTGGGTTTTGCAAGTAATCAAATTAAAACCAAGTGCAAGACAAAAAGGGTTAACGGGAATTTTCAGAAGTCTTTGGACATACCTTGCCAAAAGGGTTTTGCAAAATTGTGAAAGATTGAGCAATATGATGATCAAAATGGGTTTTGCAACGAATCAAATTCAAACCAATTAAGTAAAAGGACAAAAAGGGTAGAGCAATTCAAAATTGTCGGCCAATGTCGAAATACTGTTATTCATAGCAATTGGAAAAAGCAGTTGATCGAAAATCAGAGAAGCAAAGCATCAAATCATTTAAAGGACAACACTCTTTTTCTTAGGATGAGTTCCTAACTTCTTTCTAATTAAGGTTTAACACGCTTACTTGGCATCATAATTAAAGGTAGTTATATCTGTGTAACAAGTTTGACTGGCCCAGTTTGGTAGAGGTGAAATATGCTCCACACTATTCTAATAAGGTTTTTTTTTTTAATTATTTATTTATTTAGCTTTTACAATAAATATACTCTTCAAATTGTTACGAAAATATTTTTAATATTTGTTGTAAAAAGCCAGTTATATTTTTTATTAAAAAAAAAAAAAAAAACCAAAACCAGATTGACAAAAATGTGGTGCTACTATTCTCCCACCTTGTAACTATTACATGTTTTGATATCTAATTAATACCAATTGGATAGACATTTTAAACTTTGTATTGTTTTCAAAATTGTTATGGGAGACTGTAGGATGTATTAATTAAGTGTTCAAAATGTATCAACAAGTGTTCCAAACATAGAGTGCGTAATTATACGGCACATTCATAAAAAGTGTTTGTACTCCTTGAATTAGTAACTTTAGTCTTTAACCGAATAACATCTATCATCCATATAAATTTTTATCAAATAACCAAAGGCTCGATTTTCCGCAAAATCCTTGATTATGCCTGAAAAATGCTCATTAAAAGGTCTAGGAGCAATGTGCTTTCGTTTTTGCCAAACATAAAACATTGTAGCCCAGCTTTACGCAGGAGCAAAAATGGATACAAAGAGAAGCGGATTCTTCCTGTAAATGAGATTTTTTTCTCATCATCATAAATTGAACAACTGTGAATCTGTGATGGCAACTTGAAACACTAGTAGTACAATAACACATTCAGAAACATAGCTAATTTGTTACCAACATCCGATTTGAATTTAATTTGAAGCCCAGATTGGGTTCTTCTGGCTGCTCTCCTTTGACAAATTTCAATGTGCGAAATCATCACAAGTACAACGGATAGGGCTAGGGGACAAATCTCTCATCAGCTTATGAAGAAATATAGCATTGAGCTTCTAGCTCAAGTGGTAATATCTTCACATTTACATATGGGTGGTTAAGGATGAAATACTATCACAAAACTTTTAACCATCCAGATCATAAAACAAATACAAATACAAAAACAAAACAAAACAAAACACATAAAAAAATGAAAAGGCATATTCCAATGAACTGAACAGGCAGCTATTTGTTAAATTTTTTTTATTCAGTGTACTACGCAAATCATTATGTAGTTCCAACCACAAAGCGAACAGCCCGGGTTTATTAGTGGATTGAATGAAACCGATATTTTATGCACACCTAAAAAAATAAAAATAAAATAAAAAATAAAAAATAAAAATAAAAAAGATAAATTGAAGAGGCCCCCGTAATTTGTACAGAATACTGCCACATATCTGATTCAGTATATATGAACTACACTTTCAAGGATGATTGTGAGGGTGTTGCTGAAGCCTTGCAGATTGGGCACCAATTCTTCAGCTGCAGCCACTGGTGTACGCAGACCATATGAAATGCATGCTCACATCCCAACCTCCCCACTTCATCTCCAAATGCATATTCTTCCTGCAAAATATCCCATAAATCTATATAATCAAATCGGGCAGTAGGTTGTGATTGGATGGCTGCAAAAGCAACGTCTCCATGGATGTTATACTCCGAGTGGGTTAATTCTAAGCTGAAGAATATAAGAACCTGTTTCTGGGATCATTGGGGGTGGGGAACCAATGTTTTGGTCCATATGTATATACATATAATTGATTGTATTGCAACAATGAGAATCAATTTGGAGCAGTTTGGCTCTCCAAAACCAAAACACATTGTACTTGCAGCAGATATAGCTAGGTCACGACTAGGATCAATCGCAAACTGAAATCCGACTGGCCCAGAAATACCTTTCAGTATGACATTGGATTTGTTGTAGGTCAACAACAGAGGATTGAAATGAACTTAGATGGGTTTACAAAGAGTCGAGCTAGATACATCCAAGTCATGAACTCAACTTGTACAATGTACATGGTTATTTGGGATGAAGAACTCAAACTTGGTTCTTTACAGTATCAAACCCAACCAACCTGCAAACAGAAAACTGCTTGGGCTTGGTTCTGTTGAATTAGATTAAAATCGGGCAGCTAGACATTGGTTTTGATTATGTTTGACACCCACCAAATGTAAGCTCTGTTCAATTCTAGTAACAGTTGCAGACTTGCAGCTGAATTAGAGACAAGCCACCGATTATTGAGAAATATTTGTAGTTATACGAAGAATACCTGGCAAATACTGCATTTGGTATCATCATCCCCACTGCATCCCGTTGTTCTTTCCACTGGAGGTGTAGGCTGATAGATGCTTCTCCTAAGACATCTGGATAATGCTTCTTCTGATAGTGCTGTGCTCACAGTACCCATCTTCTCCTCTAGAGCTAATAATTCCTAATGCAGCAGCAAAATATTGTAAGATAAAAACAGCTGAAGATAATATACTTAGAAACATATGAGATAATATAGTTTTCGTAAGTGTACGGTCTAATGTAAAAAAATAAAGATAAATTGTTATTCAAGTATATATTCTTTTAGAAGAAATGCCAATAATAATAAGAATTGCTCACCAAAAAAATAGAAAAAATAAAGGAGGAATACAACTAAGTCTGTGACAGAAATATTCAGGAAACAATTACTTAAGTACTGAGATGTATACTCTAAAATAATAACAAACCTCGTATGACATGTTATCAATATCCAGTCTCATGTCTCTATGCTGATCATAGAAGCTAAGGCTGCCAAGTAATAAATTTGTCTCCAAAGTAAGTAATTGCTGCAGGAAAAAGAAGAAGAATTAATGAACAAACATTCAATCTGGAGATAGTCTAAAGAAGAGAAGAATTCAACTACTTAATACCTCATATGTTAGCTCTTCATCTTGTTCAATTCTCTCAAGCGCCAATAGTACCTGGACAGTACAACAAAACATAAAACTTCAAAATACAATAAATAAAGTTTCCTCTTGAACTCCCCGTCTGTGCACCAGTGTAGAATGTAAATTGACATATAATATAGACAAAATACCTCAGTAATTCCATCCATGTTATATCGCCGCAAGCTATCATGATTCATTGAAGAAAGGGTAATGCCATGTTCTCCAACATCAATTGGCATCATACTCGGTACATTGCTACCACCAGCACTAGGACGGTTATAAGAATTCGAATAACTTGAAGAAGCTTCTGCTGAAAACTGATGTGATGAACTAGCATCATTTGAGCCAATAGCGATTTCAGGCTGAGGCATTTGTGGCATCCCAACAGGTGACCGAGTCAGTGATGCATTATTTTCATTTCCTTGATTAGAAAGCATCATCCTATTGTTACCATCTATTGACCTCCGAGTCCTAACAGATGCAACACCATTATCCCTGCTAGAAGGGAAATTTCTGGCTCGTCTTGAATCAGAAAAGGTGATACCATTGGTAGACATGGAAACAAGTCCTGATGATGATCCACTCATCTTTTTCCCTCTATCAGAATAACTGGTTTCTCCTTCAGGATTTCTCTTCTTTACCATATCCTTTCTTCTACTAAGTTTTGGATCTGATGATGAAGAACCTGATGGAAGGACATCAGATACTGAATTGCATTTTAAATTTTTCAAACCATACCTGCTTGCACTGGCACCATTTCTTGCCCCATAAAAGGTTCTTTTAGATGCCAAGGGAACAGAGGAACCCAATTGGGTATCTAGGTCTGCCAATCTAGATTTTTGCTGAAATGTCTTCTGGGATCTACTCTCTGATGCTATACTGGAGCTCCCCACTTCCGTCATTCCAACTTTGCCAGACTCCGCATCTTTTAATCTGCACTGAAACCCAGTCTGAACCTTTTCTGACGAGGGAATAAGTTCTGAGACTTCTGGCTCATCCTGAACGGTACTAGTTTCTGATGAATCTGGTTGTAGTTGAGAAAATCGCTTTCTGTGAAATTCCTGGAATGATTTTCTTGTGCTGGTCACCATGGAGGAACCCCTAGAGGAACCTTCAATTATTTCCTTGTCACTTGAAGAATGAATACAAGACCTTGAAGATTTGGCCTTCTCAGAACATTCAATTTGAGTACCTTTTCCGTAGTTAAGTCTGCCATTGCATCCAAGTCGGTTGCAAAATTGAGCATTTTGATCCCTATTGTCAACTGCATCTCTCAAAACAAGACCAGATCTCTTTCTAGGGATAGCAATCCCACCAACGGCTCTTTTACCAGAGTACTCATCCATATATAGAGGTGTATACCTTTTATTCTGTAACAAAAATAAGACACTCCTTGTCAGGACCTTTAACAAGTTTGGTCAATAATCTACTACTTAAGCCGAATACACATTTGTCAATAATATATAACTGAAGCTGAATACACGTTTTTTATACTGAAGAAATACCATGTGCCTATGTATTTTGCACTTCCAAGTACAACCCATGGAATGGGAATATGATGAAAATCAAACCAATAACCATAATAATTAACTTCTCAAAAGCCCAGAAATTTATTTTTCTAATAAAACATTGAAAAGTGTTTTTTTGACAAGGAGAAACTGCAAAATCTACATCCATTCATGGATCTACATAGTTTTAGACAATTAAATATTCTAAACTTTCCCCTCACAAGAATATAAAGCGAAGTGGGAAAGCAAGGCTACTTTGAGAGCATACAGACATAGAGAACTTGTAAGAAGTATTAAAAATAAAGAAATGGATAATAGTTAAGGGACAGATGCTAAAAATATGATAAAACTTGAAGCTAAATAAGGAGGTGAACTTTCATACAGAGGCGAACGCCTTCGTAGCCCAAGTGGGTTGCTCACCGTTGTCCTTGGGAGCCCGGCTTCGAGCCTTCACATCCCCACTCCCCACTAACCCCTAACCCCTAACATTCTTGCCATGAAAGGAAAAAATATATATATTTATGCAGAGAACAGTGGACAGGTACTTTGAACTGCTTGATCTTCAAGAGGAGATAGAAAAAGGAAACATTATTGCAGAAGGTCGTATGTCGCTGGGATAATGAAATCCTCACGTATCTCATTTTTGTTGCACATAAGTCATAACAAAGAACAAACATGATAATGTAGACTACTTATATTAGGAAAGTAATTAGTAATTACAAGTATAAACTAGGAGAACCAATAAACACTAAATGTTTGGCTTAATTTCTTATCTCAACAAAGAAAAGAAGAGATAATTGGCAAAACAAAGGAGAAGGAAAGAAGAGAGAAGATTTTTAAAAAATCATCTGTTTCTTCATGGAGAAGAAATGGAGAGGGAGGAAAGGGAAGTATGGGACCCCAATTTATATCCTTAATTTATTGTACCTCACATCTAAAATGTTGTACTTCTCCCCAGATGACTCCAAATCACCTCACTTTTGACATGAGGGTTTTAACAGGACAGCAGAAATATATTTCTCAATTAATTACTCAATTTCTCTTCTTTATTTCCTAATAAGTGAACAAAACCTTGGATAAGAGGACATCTAAAAAATTTTCTTCTCCTCTCTTCCCTTCCCTCAATTAGGTTGTCTGTAGACCATAATAGCACTGTAATGTTCAGTTGCGTCACAATATACACACACACACACACACGCAGAGTTTTCATTTGGAATCCTGATGCTAGACTGACTTGAAAGTATGGATCATAAAACAAAGTGTGGTAAACCACTTCTTTGACATTAAAACCAAACGTCATACCTTCAAGTCATGACTATCACTAAGCTTAATTCGCATAAAGAATTTTATATTTTCCAACCTTGAAATGGTCGCCAACTCTTGGAATATTGACAATAATACATATATATAGCTCAATGATAACCAATTCGAAATATTGACATATATAAAGCTCAATGACAACCAATTCGAAATCTTCCATTCAATGTTATGCAAAAAACCTACCACTCATTAGATTTTCTTTTATAAAGTTTGCTAAAATATCAACGTTTAGCTCCATTTCAGGAGGGCTTCATCCCCACTGCTCAATCCAAGAATATAAGCAATAATAAAGGTTTGAAGAAATTAGACCACCTTAATTGTCATTACAACAGTTTAGGCAGATTCGATTTTCTGAAAAACATAGTGAAAGGTTACCCATGAATACTAATATCCAGCTTTAAGAATAAACAGAGACCACATATGCCGTAGAAACCACCTCCTACTCCCAATGCAATAACAATAATTGAGAGCATTAACTATAAGGAGTTTGAACTAAACAAATTGATGCTTCATCAATCCAAAAGCCTATGGCATCACCAAGAGACACATAACATTCCACCAGATCAACGAATTCAGTCCAAATAATAAAAAAGAAAATAAGAAAATAAGCATTAAGCAGCAGACAAGCAAATAAGTTAAAATGTAATACTCTGATCTTCATGTTTCAAAACAAACAGTATTATTCGGGCTAAATCCCATATTACAATATAATTCAGAAGTATCTTTTCTCCAATCTACAATTTGACTGAACTTTCTATATAATGTATCTGTTTTAATCAATACCATCTAATTTATAGAATGACACAAGACCAAATATATAATCAGGCAGCACGCAAGCACTTAATCAAAGGTTTCCAAATAAGGTAAAAAACCGTAATGAAACCATTTTCCTAGCTATGAAAACTAAATCAAGATATATAGATGTCTCTCTCTCTGTATATATACGACTTTAAAAGGCTATAATCAATTTCATCACAAAAAAAAAAAAAAAAAATAAAAAATAAAAATAAAGGCTAATACCCCTCTGATTAGAAGGCTTTGATATAATTCAATTATCAAATATTTGTTTGAAATTCAACTCGAAAAAATTAAAAAATCAAAGAAACTCTCACCTATGAAAAACATTAAGATAACCAAATTTCATTAAAAGGGTCTCTAAGATCAGCAAAAGACAATAGAAACACAAGAAATAGGTCAATACTTGTATTTGTAGCCATCAAACATTAGACCAATCACCCAGATAGAAAACCAGATTATCTGGTCATCTTAAAAATTGAAAAGTGAGGTGAGGAGGTGGACAAAGCAAACTAAGGAGTAGAAAAGACCCACATGGCCAAAGACCCATAATTTTTAACCCAAAAAGATGGTTCTTTCTTTGCCTTTTATTTAGTAAAGAAGCTTTTGCTTGTTTGAATGATTCACAAACAAACTTTCCACCTTCTATTTATAAAGAAACTCTTACCCGCAATTTAAGCGTCAAAAAGCAGAAGAATGAAGACCTCTAACCCATAATTTCCAACAAATCAAACAGAATTATATATAAATATATATATGAAGAACAACTAGTCCACTTGCTCCTCTCTCTCCCCACTTCATCAGAGCAAAAGCCAAAAAAAAAATTAGTATACAATTTAATCAAGAATATATTATGCTTAATTTATTAATCAAATTGATTGACTTTTCATTCAAGAATTTTGTCCAGAAACTAAAAAATGGATTAAAAACATGTTAAACAAAACAAGCACAGACAAACAAACCAAAGAAAATTAAACTTTAAAAAAAAAAAAAAAAAAATTAATAATAAAAAGGTCCAAGAAAATTATTAATATTATTGATTGAACTTAATTGGGTTGAAAGAATTTCCATTCTCTACCTTTTTCTTCTTCTTCTTCTTCTTCTTCTTCTCCTTTCCACACAAGAAAAGAGAGAGGTTTGATTGAGAGAGAGGTTTGATTGAGAGAGAGGGAGGAGTAATCTTAATTTTGAGATCGATAGAGCTGAAAAAGGAAATGCAGTCCCACTGATTGGACAATGGATTGAAAAATCCCAGCCGTTGGATGAATTCTTTTTTTGAATCGGTCCAATATCAACGGCTGTTTGACTGAAACGTCACCGTTTAATGACCACCCCGGCCGCATCACCTAGACTATAAGAACCATGTGCTCTTTTTCTTGTGTGGACGGAACCTACCCCACCATTAATAGACCCACCAAACCCATTACTTTATTTATTTGCTAATTCTTCTCTTTTTATTATTATTATTATAGTTAATTTTTTATTTCAATAATACAGAAATGTTTTGCACTATAGAAAAATATAATGGGTAATTAATTGTCAGTTTTTAATGGGTAATTCAAAAAACAGTTTATGTTTCAAACGTTGGATCTTTATCACTTTAACTTCTTTTAAAAGTGTAAAATATATTTTATACCCGTATCTAATTTAATAAAAACAAATATATCAAACCAAATGACTGTAATATCCTCTTCTTTTTTTCTCATCTTGTAAATACTATCTTAACTAATTTTATTTTTATTTTTTTTGAAAAAAAAGTACCTAATCAAATGTCATTAATAAAAATAAAATTTATAAAATTTAAATATTATAAATTGGTATGAAAATTGATACTTCGCATTTTAATGACATTTCATGGTATTTTTGTTATAAGGTTATTAAGGTGTTTTAATAAAAGGAAAAAGTAACTTAGTCATTTTTAAAATTTTCATTAATTCAGGCAGGTGGAAGGTTAATGTAATCCTACAATGAAGATTTATTTGGTGAATAATTTTTTTTTTCACGGAGCATGTGAACAACTCTATTCAATAATTTATTTAGTTATTCTTAGTAGGTACTCACACACGCACATCTTCATTGAGGCTCGAACCCCTTGACCACCCTTTGAAAAGTAAGAATTTGATACCGTTAAGTGTTACAAGGAGTACTTGTCCCACATTGGATCCCGATAAGAAATAAAGGGGGTATAAATAGGAGGGTATGCACGCAACACTCTCCAATAACTTAAGCTTTTGGGTAAATAGGCAAAGATCCAGTCCTTAATCCGGTGTCATGCGAAGCGGCTGGCCCGGAGGCATCCGTTCAGATGGGAAAGAATGTTACAAGGGGTACTTGTCCCACATTAGATCTGGATGAAAAATGAAAGAGATATAAATGAGTGGATATACAGCACTACCAAATAACTTAAGTGTTTTAGTAAATATTAACACTAGACCACTAGCATGCTTATTCAATAATATATTTAATTTTAGAATTTTTACATATGCTTGTTTATGTTAGGTGTACAACTCTCCTCAATACTATATCTAATTTTAAATTCGTTACAAATACTCGTATGAACTTCCACAAACAATTCTCACATTGCAATAATATTTTAAATATTTTTTTCCCTGTCATTAATCAATTTTAAAAAATAATTTCTGACTATTTATTTCAAAAACAAATCATTTCTGACTTCCACAGGTCACCAAGCAATGAAGGCATATTCCCACTTGCTACTAATTTTCTTCCACCATTCAAGCCATGAAACAGACCTTTGAGGGTTAATATGAATCCACATGGGAGATAACTTCCACATCTTCATAGCTCCTCTCTCATAAGTGATCATTAAATGATCCACTATTTCATCAAAAACTTACACCAACTTTCCTCCACCACACCTCTTTCAAACTCAGAAACATCCAAACACAACCTTAAAAAAAAACATGTGTTTAATTTTCAACTTTACTTACCTCCAAAATTGACAGTCTACTGATACCTATTAAATCATTAAAAATATTTTTATTTTAAAATTTTGTTTTTAGATGTATTTGGTAACCATAAAAAGTAATTTTAATAGTTTTTCATTTTAACTCAGTAAAATTTTTGAATGAGGTTAAAATATATTTCAAGTAACTGTTTTTCTTAAATAATTTTATCTCTTTTTATTTCTTATAAAGACAATTTCATCTTTTGTTTTGGGGTTTATTTTTAGAATTTGAAAGGGAGAACTCCATTCTTTATCTTCATTTGGTGGGACAAAATTACCTTTCAAAGAGCACCTTCTTCCATCTAGAGGAGATTCTGTTTTTTCAATATCAGACCATCTATAGTAATTATATCAGTTTTACTAAGTTATTTAGTAATTTCTTTTGGCTATCAGGGTAATTTGATCATTTATAAGTCGATAGATTTTATTTTATTTTCTCTTTTTTCGATGGAGGGTAAGGGTTAATTCTATATTGAATTCATTTAGCATTTAAACTAGATTCTTGTTTGAAATACACACACACACACAAATATATATATATATATATATGATTTAGAGAAGAATCATTAGAAATCAGAAACAAGAATCACATTCGATGTGACACTCTATTAAAGGATATTAGTGTAAAATTAGAAATAGAAATGCTTTAAACAATAATATTAGCCAAACAAATTAAGAAGTTGTCAAAAGTATTTTACATATGTAAATGTATCACTAAACACCTAAAATGGTTTTAATTCACAATAATTTTATAGCAATTTTATTGAAACCAGTCTGGTTTTCGTTTTTTGAATGAGTTGATTTTTTACTGATTGGAAAAATCTGCTAATTTTGCCTTAGGCGACTCTTTATACTACTAGTTTTAGGTTCCTTTGGACTGAAAGAATGGATTTATTGTATTCAATTGTATAAGAACTATAGCTTGATGAATTTGAGAATTTATATGTATGTATCCATTTTAAATAACAAAGTGTAAAAAGTTATTTAAAATTCATTCGGTGATAGTTTAAGTTGCGTATTGTAACAAAAAAAAATTCTTCAATACCTCTAATTTAACATCTCCTTTAAACTTCATAATCAACCTTTAATTTATTTTATTTTTTATATCCAACATTTTGTGTAAGAAGTTATGACGAATTTTGGCCAGCCATGCAATCAATTTAGCTAGGATTTGTGTGACTCCGGCAATAAAGTAGGTCCCACACAAAAAATGTTTGCAGGCTGCCAACTGTGTCTAGGGGATAGGGATGGCTATACCAAAAGTGTGGGCCCACTTCATTTTATAACAGTCAAATACTGCAGGTAACCACGTCATCCCGCTGGCAAAAAAAAATTGTGCATCACCAACCGATACCGGTTGCCCTAAAGCGTTCATCTGTGTCTTGTACCTTTCGCTTTCCGCTTCAATCTCCCATGTCTTCCATCGCTATAACAAAGCGTTCATCTGATCAATGGATAGTAGCAGAGTTTCAAAATGAGAAACCTATAGATAGAATATTTCAATTGCAATACACAATAAAATGTTCCATATATGTTTATAGTATTGTATATCTGTAACTTCAGAATGTTGTATGTCACCAATATGCCATTTACCAGCAGCAACGTACTGATCCCAACCTGGTATCAATATTATTCAAGTACTTCAATCACTCTAGTTATATATGTATATTCACACTCCTGATCTCTTGACTCATTGTTTAAAAATGTACCACTAATTACATTTATACGGATCAAACCGAGTACTAGTTCGGTCTCACATCACCATCAATTCAGAGACAATACCAGCTTGAACAATGCCCTTACCGTGTTGGCCTGTTGAATGTATAAAAAGCTTTGACCATGAGTTTGTAACAAATGGAGCTTAGGCCAGATACTCTCTGCTGGATTATTTAGCTGCAATGAAACCCCACCTAATGACAATAGCAAAAGGATGACGAAGCATAACACAGCACGCTGCACCATCATCTATTACACAAATCCGAAAGCATTTGTAGACCCGAGTTCAGGTTTTTTAAAAGAATATATCCATTTCATATCTATATAGATGGATTACAGAGCATTACTGAAGTTGACAATCAAGGTTAGAGAAGCATAAATTAATGACTCATCTGTACAATGTTACAATGATATTCTACAAATAGGAAATTGCTGCCTTAGCACCTCTGATGCAGGTGTAGCAAGCTTAGATAATTGTTCAAATGTAAAAACTCCGACCGCCCTTAAACTTGAGTTGTAATACGGACTATACAAGTTGCTATATTTAACAACAATAACCATTTTGTACCTCTTCTCCAACATTAAATCAACCACGTGGCTAATAGATGTTGAGGCCGTAACATAAGGAGGTGGGCTTCTCATCATTGCTGAAAGTGACGCATTCAACTGCACAAGAACATACCACAATAGAATGCAATGTTAGAAGGCATCATAAGACTTTAACAATGAAGTTTGCAGTGGGTCACACAGTAACATGTTCATGACCTATATTTCTTGTTTAGGGTGCACAAAAATGCAGGAAACTAGTATCCTTCACGAAGCCTGTTCTTGATTGATTTTCTTGTTTAGGTGCATCATAACGCAGGAACTAAAATTCAATTGAAACTTGTGAACAACCTCAAAAAACAACATTTAATAATTAAGAATTTCTGATCCTGGAGTTCACAAGGAATGCTCCGTATACATATATTATAGGCTTCAAGGAGGTCGAACTAGGAGTATAATTAGACCCTTTTTGTAGTTCAGAATTAAATTGAGTCCACAATCACAATCTGAAAACTAGAACTGAAAAAATACCTCCACTATCTGAAAATTTTCAAAAAATGAAAAATCTATTAACCAGCTTCAAAAAAATCACCGCATTTCTTTAGAGAGGAAGAGGAGTTGAGCTATGTAGGTTTTGTCACTTTGTGACTGTATTCTACAAACGTCAGCATGACAACATCATACAGCAGATGACGTCAGCACAATCCAGTGGCCTCCAAACGCCTCCAACAAGCTTCGCCGGTGTGGGGACTTACAGGACTTTGATCAGTTGCTCTGATATCAAGTCAGAAATGTATTGCCAATTGATACTAGGCTTGGAAAGAATATGGTTTGAGGTACAATAGAGAGAGAAGAAAAGAGAGATGTAAGAAAAGGGTCCCAAGCGCTAGTTACGTGCTAATTACCCAAATATCGAATATTTAAATAGAAGAGAGAAAAATTATATTTGTTACAGAATGGTATTTAAAATAAGAATGCAGATTATTTAGAGGATAACTAACTTTTATAAATTTGGAAACTTTACAATAAAGTAATTATTTTTACTAGGAAGAAAATTCTGCTGAAGTTTGTAATTGGAATGCCCATGAAATTAACCGAGTTTATTGTGAAGCCAAACTTGTCTCAAGTTATTTATGCTTCTATCACAATGAAATGAAAGTTCTGTCACAAGAGAACTGCCAGTCTCAAAGGCTTCTGGACTTCTAAGCAAAAGAATAGATTCTACCACAGGAGTGCCACTCAATACAGAATACATCTCATCTGAGTTCTCAATATTTCATTGTGAACCCACGTGAGATCAGAAGAATCCTGACTCATTTTTGTGATATTACTTGAGCACTCATTAAAAATCCATTTCAGAAATGTTCCTGACTTCAACAGAGAGAATATATGATGAAAAGAAAATATATGCATTTAGGATAATATCAACTGCAGTAACATATTCTAGCAGATTGTGTTCTGGTCATCGGTTTGTCAACCATCCACAATAAATTCATCTCTGAGAAAGAGATACCTCCTCTACAAGCTACGGAAAAAACATAATTTTCTTGGAAACACATTTTGATCCATTAATGAACAAGAACAAAGAATCAGAAGAACATGAATGTATGAGTTAACAAAGTTGCCTATGAGGTGGTACATATTGCAGTTAAAGAAAAGCTCAGTAGAACTAAAGAGGAAGTACCTCTTTGCAGTCTTCACGGTGCAGTAGTCCTATACAGCTTCCCCAGTCATCTACAATGGGCACAACTGATTCTCTCAAGAATCGGGTGGCCACTTTCTTCAACTCCAAGTTAGCTTGCAGTGGCTGAGCTTCTTCAAATGGCATCATAATACACTCAATTGCATCACCCACTGATATCTAATAAAAGAGATCAAATTCAAAAGAATTTATCGATGTTAAAACAAATAGTTCATTTACATGATAAGGATGGTGGAGCAGTGACGAAGTCATGCATGAGAAACAGAGAGTAGCACTCCTTAATCAGGTAGCTCAATTAAATCTTCTATGCCCAAGTCCAATCATAACTGATTATCATTACTATAAAACCAAGTCAGATTTCTGGCATGAGCAATCTTCTCCACAAACTTACTGATGTAAGAAAGAATTTCAGTCTGTTCAACAAGTACATTTTCGACCCGAAAGGAGTGTCTTTTAGGTGGAAACGACCCATTGAGAAAAACCCATCACTAGCTTTAAAGCTAGTGGGCCATGTTGTTTTTCGGCTGAAAACCTTCATTTAGGACTCCGAAATCGCGTTTTTTCGTGTTATCGAAGGCCTGTTGACTATTTCGGGATTTTTGTTTGTGGCCTAAACAAAGTGGGATTGTACTGAATTTTTATATTCAGTAGTTTTTAGTGATTAGGTTTCTTATTCTATTTTTTCAGAATTTTTAGAGAGATTTATTTCTGGGCTTATTCTTTAGAGGTTGCCTTTTGCTTTTAGTTTCCTTTTGCTGCTAGGTTTCCTTACAACATTAGGTTTTCTCTATTATATAAATATTCAAGTACTGCAAAAGCAGAATTTAACCCTTTGATCAATAATATATCAGATTGCTTAGCAATTTTTCTTTAACTTTGTGGATTAAAACTTCGATCGATAAACTTGATGAAGCCTTGATCGATCGAAACCTATCACAGTTAGATTGACGGTTTTCATAGCTTCCGCTTAGTCACTTACCCCCAACCCCCAAAAATTAAAAATAAAAAATTCTCCACAAAACCAAATCATGGTAGGAAAATGTCAAGGCATCGATACATTTACAAATGCACCGTTGACTATCCACTATTGGGACATGGCACACTTCAATAGTGACTACAGAAACAAAGAGGATACCTGTGGAAGTACATAAGGACTAAACATGGATTTGGTGAAACCCAGCAAGGCCTCGATGCGTACAGCAACCTGCATTTCAATAGTGGACAAATTGGTAGTGATTGTATTCAAGAATGCTGATGAAAAGCATAAAGGGATTAGCGGTAAAACTACAAGAGATTTAAAAACAATATCAGACTATACAGGTTCATTACCAAAGAAACCCACTTAACGAGGGCCTCAAATATTTTTAATTACTCAACAAAAGGAAACTTGGACATTTAATGACCCAGAACAGCATGCTCAGTTCTCAATATCAGGAAGTCCAAAAGTAAGTCAGTGCAGAGAATTTATAGCTTCTTCATGTCACCTTGAATTAACTAAACTTTTTGTCTTTACAATAAAGTAAAGCAAAGGGCTACATACCATTCCTCCTCGACTTGTCCACGATATTCCCTTCCATCTTTTAATTATATTTGAAAGATTTTGTACAGCCTCATCAACCTAAGAAACTCAAACAACGTTAATTGAAGTGCAAACAAAAAAAGGAAAAAGAGGATAATTGAAATTTTTAAATGCTGCACAGTATCATGAATTTGCACATTTGGATAGAGTGATGAAATAAATTAGTACAAGTTCCAGCCAGACTATTTAACATGCAAGATACATGCACTATGACATAACCATAATGAAGAATATAGTGCAGAATATTCATTTTTAATGACGAACAATAATTTCCCTTGTCATAGAAACAAAGAAAATTATATAAAATAGGAATATCACTTGAATTTTATCTATCGATATTTGATAAATAACTGTTCTATCACTTCATAAATTTAGAAATTGATGCTCACTAGAACCACTACTCTCAAACCAGATAAACAAATTTGGCATAACCAGATAAACTTCTTCCTTTTCTTCGTCAAATTTGTACGCTTGCTCAGCAGATCCAGTTGTCCCACACTCTCTCTAGAGACAGATCTTCCATTGGTGCATTATCGTTTACATCTTTTCCCACCAATTCATCCATGTTTTTTCCAGCCTTCTCATATTGCAGAAACTTTAAATCGACACTAGCTTCGGTATTCAAAGCACATGTTACCTGTTCAACCTACTTGGGTTCTCCTATACAATTCTTGCTTTTATCTTCTTGTCCGCCCACTAGTCCACCATACAATCCCCAAACAAAGGCAAGAGATATTTAGTTATGGCTGCAACATCTAAACTGCTTTTGCAAATAATTAGCATTCCAAATATTTATTGACACAATCCACAATTGACATGGTACAGTCAAATTTGACACGAGCAATATGTCCTCTTCCATTTGTTTTCCAAATGTCTAATGTCTAGAAATCTCATGTGATATATATTTGTATCATGGTAGTATGGGACCCACTAAAGATTGCTATGTTCTTCAGTTTCTGATCACTCATGATGCATTGATGTCCAAGGCGCATAGTATACGTCGTCGCTGGTTTTTTTTTTGGGTGGGTGGGTTGGGGACATGAAACTTGTGTCTCAAAATCTGATGTTTGTTAACCACCAAGGGTTGTTGCTCAATGGTATCTCCTCTACCGTCCAAAGTGACAGGTTGAAAGTTCTAGCATAGGGACAACGTGGGTGTGTATTTATTTGCTACAATAAAAAATAAAGAAGTAAATCTGATTCTGAGCGGAACATCTTAAGCCAATATGAGAAACGGCAAAGAGTGGACAGAATTATATGAAGCCAAAGAAATAATAAATGCTTAAAATTCAGTCACTAGAAACAACAGAATCAATATTATTGTTAATTACACATAAAAACTCTCTTATTATGTTCATTTTGTTATAGTACTACTTTAAAACAGGCGGAAATATTATTTTACTCTAGAAAATAAATGTGAAAAACTAAACAACATGAATATTTAACTGTCTCTTCATATCCTTGAATATAGTGTTCCGTACCCAATCCTTGGACACCTACCCATACCTGACACATGCCCAAGTCCATGTAATAAAACCAATTTTGAAGTCTTGATATATTCAATAAAAATATAATTTATAGACAAATCACCAGAGGGGCGCAACCCGTATACCATAAAGTATACAGAAACTTATGCTGTTATTATACAACACAAATCACCTACAAAAGAATGTACAAGTATGGAAAACATATAGACATCCAAATTTTTTATGCTTGAGCATATTGCTTGAAGTCCCACATCCTCAAGCACATGCCTATTCCTCTCTATTTGAGGATACTACATAATGCAAATAGGCACCGCCTTCCAAGCTAATTGAACTCTCTTTCAAGCGCAACCCCCTTGACAACAAGCAAGCAACTTCTGCATAGACATCACCCAGAGGATCTAAAGGAAAGAGAACATCAGGTGATTCAGGCACCACATGTGCCATGCAAACTCACAGTGGAGGAAAAGATAGATACTTCCCTACCATCTTATACATGCAACACCAATTAGGAAGCATCTGCCTAGATTATCCATGGTCAAAAACACTTTCAACGTTGCAGACTAAACAAGGAAAGACACTTTGGATGAAACTTATACCTTCAAATATTCTTTCCAAGGTAAACCGGGCATATCCCACCACAAACCTTTCTAAGTAAGATCTCAGTCAACTAGTCATCCATATTCCATGGCACATTTCTACATCAAGGCATCTTTCCTCCCCTCGCAAATATAAAGGCCAAATTAGACCTCAAAGTGGGCATCACTCGGCTCCAACTCCAAACCCTGAAGCGCTTTGAGGAAGCAAGCTCCAACACAACTCCCCCAGTGAACTGATATAAGAGACTGCCTATCAGCTGCGGCACGGAAAAAAATTAAGAAAGGAGGGTATCTCAAAACATGTGTCATGCCAGAACCTCACTCTATGTGCATCCCCACCGCAAAGCCCAAGACCTTAGAGAACTTCCTCCTTCCTTAATCCCCTTTCACAGGCCAACTCCATAATAGTTCAAATCCAATCCTACAACCAGCTCAAACTTCCCCTCAAGTAGTCTCTTCCACAAATTGTCAGCTTCCAATGCATATGAGGTGAAAATCAAAAGAGACTGAAGCTGTCTTAAAAATATAATAGTTGAAGGGTTACATCAAAATGACAAAAATGAGTGGAAAACAGTGCAAACTAACCACTCAAAGACGCAAAAACCTTAAGGGGAGAAACTTAAGAATCATTTCATGAAGCCTTTAGCTAACCAGTTATATGAAGATCTTGCCTGAAAGGCTCACTAGTCATTAGACTTAGAATCAAATACATTTATAAAAAAATGAAAAATGTAAATCCCCAAGCAAAAGGAATTATGAAACTACTATATGTAGCACTTGTAAGCACCTATGAGTTTTGAGTTTTATAGCAAAATGCTCTTAAGGATAATATTTATTAACATTTTCCATAAATAAAATTAGGTTGGGATCTCTGACTGATTGCATTCTCCTTCCTGTGCCTTCCTTCCTCACTTTTATGTCTCCCTTTATTCCTCTCCTATTCAATAAAGCCAAAGCTACTTTCTTCCTACTGTTGCTTTTTCTGAGTGAAACTATCGCTCATTAATAATGGTAAAATGTAATGATCCAACATGCAATTATGCCGCATGTCTTTGACTTGATTATGCATGTGCATCATATTGCACTAAAGGTGGAGTAAAAGCTGATGCACCAAATGTGAAAATCAAATTGACAAGCAAACCAAGGGCCAAAGATAAGATGTCACATTTCTAGTGTAATAGGAAGGATGGCCAGGAAATATTTAAGCGGATATTCAAAAGTAAAAAAGCAAAGGTAAACCTTATAACCTCAACTAACCTAATTGAATCCTCAACAACAACAACAACCAAGCCTTTTCCCAATTACTTGGGGTTGGCTACATGAATCCCATATTTCCATTCCACTCTATGTAAGGTCATACCCTCAGTAACCCACATGCTATCATCGTATCTTTCTTTACAAACTCTCCATATTAACTTTGGTCTTCCTCTACCTAACTGAATCCTCATGATACAGTTTTTTTTTTTCTTTTTTTCTTCTTTCTGTGACTAGTAGAAGGATATACAATAGACTCCACATTGGAATTGAAATCAAAACCACCAGAACCCACTTCATCCTGATAGAAACAGAGGTAAGAAGTCATTGAGAAAACCTGCAATATTCTTTTGAGAAAACCTGGTAGATCCTGAACCACTCCACAAGACTTTATATGTAATATCAAAGCTCAAGCTTTAACATGCATGCTAGTTGGCGTTCCTTAGTTAAATGTTGCCTTTTTCATATCTTTAAAATTGAAATGCCAATGAATACATAATCATTTATGTTGAAAGATATAAAAGTTGAACAGCCACTAGGGCCTACATACACGTCACACAAAGCCCAAAGGGCTACAACTCTTTCATTCCATTCTCTCTTCATTTTGTTTACAATAAGCACCTCTATTTATAGGTGAATTGGGGAAGACTTGTAGCTATAATAAAGGAATTACACATAAAGTCAAATACAAATATGGCAACAACTTGTTGCCCAAGTATAGCAATTTAACATTCTGTCAAGGAGTGATCTAAGGGCTTAAATGTCTCATATAATTATTCTCCAACAATTTATAAATCTTTCACACTAACACTCGTAAACATGAAAGCAATGGGATTGTTAAGATACATTAGATTTATGCTCACAAAACATATTCACAAAGCACAAGTAGTGTACAGTACTAGTATTTGCAAGACCATATTGTATACTGCCCCATATACCTGTTTTTACTCAGATTTTCCTCATTGCTATATCCTACAATTTATTCTTTCACAAATCTAACATCTTAAGCTGTAAACAAAGCCAGTAGGTAATATTTTCCATGCAGTGTATTCTAGGTTGCTTTCTGTTAACAAACTTTAGAAATCACTTGAACAAATTGAACACCTTACAGGAAAAACAAGAAAAATCTAGAAGGCGTTGACATTTATACCATTATTGAAGAGGCCCCAATGTTCAAGACCAATTATAAGAAGATAGGGTACCTGGCCATCATTTAGGGCCGCCTCCATGAGAAGGTGATCAGCTTCTTCCTGAACTGTTGGGGAAATAGTTCCAGCAGAATCCGGCCATATGCGTTTGTTCAAACATTTGACAGTGTCGTAGTCTCCTTTTACAGCTAAAGCACGCATCAAGGAAAGATAGAGGTGAGGCTTCGGCCGCAGGTTTGGATTCCTACCAGCTCGTTTTAATATTTCCCCAAATATACAGAGGGCCCCTAGACATATCCAAGACAAAGATTGAATAAGTATAAGAGACAACAGAACTCTTGCCCATTTACAAACTGAAACGCTAACTAAAACATAAACCGGCACTAGATACAGCATTGGTGTAAGAAGGATGAAGTCCACATACCAAATGTGACTGTTCTATTAAAGAGGGATGACTTAGATAGTCCTCAAGATCATCTTTTTAGTTTCTAAACTCTAAATACGAAAATATAGCAAATGGTATCACTGTAGAAGTGAAGCGTGAAGTAAACCATCAGACTTCAAAAAGGTCTTCCGTGATATCCTTTTGAGATGACAAGGGTATATAACGGTACTGAATGAAGAAAGTTACCATAAAGGTTATAAAGTTCATTTTATAAAATATGGAGGGATAGAACTATGCCAAAACATAGAAAAAGGAACAAAAACAAAGGGTAGAACCTCTTCAGGGAATATAAACTTTATATGATTGTAGGGGGGACGATGTGCACATGCATAATGCAGCATTATTAGAAATTAAAATCGTCAAAAAGTACATAGACTGTACATGCTTTTGCCCCCAAACTCAGCCAAATCTGTCTAGATTTCCTTAGATTTGGATCATTGTCAAAAATTATAAGACACCTCGTTCAAACTTGGATAAATATCAACAATATGACAAATTCTAACAATATAGAGCAAATAAAGATTTATTATCTATAACTTTTCTTCATAACTATGTTATAGGACTTCATGTTCTGTTCACTTTGAATAAATTATTTTGGATCACACCTACATCCCTTCGGATCTGAGCCACATTAGGATGCTGAACAAGTATAAATATGTTAAAGAGTACTGGTTATGAGTGCATACTTGTTATTAAGTGGCATTATTTAAAAAATTTAAAGCCAGATTAGTAGTAATATGTTGGAATATGAGGGCATATTCTTGTAACAAGAGTAATTAGTGGAAATTTACCACGTAGGGTATTATTGTAAATCTTCCTTACCTTTAATATAAATATGTGGGCATAGATATCCCGTAAATGATCTACAACCCTTCTTTAAGAGAGTATAATAAAAAGTGATGTAGCCCTTTGCGCTTTGTGTGTCGTGGATGTAAGCCCTAGTGGCTGAACCACCTTATATTCGCGTGTTGTTCTATCTTATTTCTCTCTTCAATTTTTTATATATTAACACCATTCAATCTCTCTCTTCCTTCATCAAACCCTAATCATTTAAAACCTAAAACACAATCAATAGTGTATTTCAACTTGGTATCAGAGCCACCAATCGGAGTCCTGAAACCTTCAAAGAAATCTGTAATACACCAGAGCTGGCTGAGAGAGTCCGGATGTCATCAGCAAGGTGCTGGCGTCAGCATCTGTACAGTTGAAACTTGGCGAAAAACACATGGGTCGACTCACCTGAAATTTTTATGATATATGGTGTAATTTGTTTAAATGTTGAAGGAAGATGTTTGATGGGCCTTTTATATATTTGAATAATTTTGGAATTTTGGGACTGAATTTGCAATCTGCTTGTTCTAGAATTTTTTGGCTGCTTTTTGGGTTCAAATCAGTTCCTTAGGATGCGCCTAAGCCTCTTGAGTATTGTTGTGAAGTTTCATTGAGAGCCAACTTTGTTTTGAAGGTTTTTTGCTGATATTTTAAGAGTGGCTGACCGCTTTGGCTGCTGTCCATGGACCATGGATATTTGGCTGCTGTTTTCTATGTTTTGCAATTCATTAATCCTAGAAATTATTTGGGAAATGATTTTTTTGGTAGTTGTTGAGCATTTTTTTGGCTTCCTAAAGCTTCTGTTTTTGGCTTTTTGGGCAACTGCTATGTTCTTTCCGTCTTTGGTCAAGCCTAACTTGTTTATCAGTCATGTCTGGAAAAGACGAAGGATCTACCCGTAGTGCAGGAGGAGGATTGTGTCATGTAGGGACTCTTGGATATAACACTTCTCTTCAAATTAGTCCAGTAAAGTTGGATGGGAGCAATTACCTAGTGTGGTCTCAGTCTTCCCTATTGTCAGTTTATTGCGCAGTATTACGCCGAGCTCAATAGTCTGTGGCAAGAAGGGGACTGTTATCAAAATTTTCAGCAGATTGTGCCGATGATAGTGCCGAATTTCAAAAGCTATTGGACAAGGAGCGTGTGTGATTTCTTAGCTGGGCTTAACATGAAGTAAAACCAGATTTGTGTTCAGTTGCTTGGCAGGGATCCCTTCCCATCTATGAGGCAGGCTCATTCATGTATCCAGCAAGAGGAGAGTCGTAGGAGTGCTATGATTCGCACTATAGCTCAGGATTGCTCTGTCCTTGCCAGTATTTCTCATAAAGATCAGCAGGAGGGGATAACCTCGTGTTGATACTGTTCAAACTGATGAGAGAGAGAGAGAGAGAGATCATGGTGGCTACTGAAATGTATTTCTCATATGTATTAAACCCTAAGCCTACAGTGGCTTATATAAAGATACAAGACTCAGCTAATTACACAATGACCCTCCCAACTATATGTAATTACATAATGACCCAAAACATTCTAACACTCCCCCTCAAGCTGGAGAGTATATATCAAATAATCCCAGCTTGGAACAGATAGTCCTTAACCGATTATGACCCAATGCTTTGGTAAACATATCGGCTAATTGATCTTCAGACTACACAAATGGAGTAGAGATGCTCCTACTTAATATTTTTTCTCGAATGAAGTGACAATCAACTTCAATATGTTTGGTCCTCTCATGAAACACAGGATTTGATGCAATGTGAACAGCTACTTGATTATCACAGAACAACGGAGTGGGAGTTCCAACTGTCAACCCAAGTTCTTTTAGAAAATGTTGTATCCATGTCAACTCACTAGTGGTATGGGCCATTGCCCTATACTCAGCTTCAGCACTAGATCGACCTACCACCGTTTGCTTTTTACTTTTCCATATAACAAGATTTCCTCCTACAAATGTGCAGTAGCCTGTAGTAGATCTCCTATCTGAAAGAGAACCAGCCCAGTTAGCATCTGTAAAACCTTCCACCCTGAGATGACCATTTGATTTATATAGTAACCCAAAACCTGGAGCTTGCTTGAGATATCGGATAATCTGAAGAACAGCAATCCAATGTGGCATTCTAGGAGCTCCCATGAACTGACTCACAACACTAACTGCATATGAACTATCAGGTCGAGTGATAGTGAGATAAATTAATTTCCCAACAAGGCGACAAAATCTGCCCGGGTCATTAAATAGATCACCCTCATCAGACACAAGTTTTGTATTTGAATCCATAGGAGCATCAACTGGACGACCACCCAACATACCTGTTTCTTCTAATAAGTCCAACACATATTTGCGTTGAGATAAACTTATACCCTTCTTGGATCTAGCAACTTCAATACCCAAGAAATACCTAAGTTTACCCAAGTCTTTAGTGTGAAATCGATTTTGTAGAAACAACTTCAACTTAGCAATGCCTTCAGAATCATCACCCTCGATCACAATATCATCTACATACACCACAAGAAAAATGAAGCCAGCTTTAGTGCACTGGTGAAATACCGAATGATCGGTCTGGCATCTGTTAAGACCAAATTCTAATGCCGCCTTAAAGAATTTTCCAAACCAAGCCCGTAGAGATTGTTTCAATCCATACAGGGCCTTTTGAAGGCGACAAACAGTGTAACAATACTCCCCCTAAGCAACAAACCCAGGTGGTTGCTCCATATAAACTTCTTCAACTAAGTCACCATGCAAGAAGGCATTCTTGACATCCAATTGAAACAATGGCCAGTTACAATTGGCAGCAATGGAACTAAGTACCTGAATAGAAGAAATCTTAGCAACAGGAGAAAAGGTCTTATCATAGTCAATACCATAAGTCTGAGTGTACCCTTTTGCCACCAGACGAGCCTTCAACCGCTCAATAAACCCATCGTGAAGGTATTTAACAGTGTAGACCCACTTACAACCAACCGTTTTGGAGCCCGGAGGTAAGGGAACAAGATCCCAAGTCCAATAACGGCGAAGGGCATCCATTTCATCTACCATGGCTTTGTGCCAATCCGAATGAGAAAGAGCATCTTGCAAAGTCTTGGGAACAAAAGTAGCAGACATTTTGGATACAAAACAAGATAAAGAGGATGAAACATTATGGTAGGAGACAAAGTTAGAAATGGGATGTGCTACTACACACGACCGAATACCCTTACAGAGAGCAATAGGCAAATCATCAGGCGAAGTAGATGGCGTTGGATCAGAAGACTCTGAAGGAGATGGAGGGAGCGAAGTAGGCGGTCGAGGTCGTAGAGTATAAACCTGCAATGGGACAACGGAGCGAGGAGGTGGGGAAGCAGGAAATAGAGAGGGAACAGTTGGCATAGGTGGCTCAAGAGTAATATCGAGAGGGGTAGAATAATTAGAAAAATATGGGAGAGACTCAGAAAAGGAGACATCAGCACTAGTGAAATAGCGCTGAAAATGAGGACTATAGCAACGATAACCCTTCTGAGTGCGAGAATACCCAAGAAAAACACACTTAGTGGCACGAGGGTCGAGTTTGTCAAGACTGAGCCCAAGGTTATGGACATAACACACACATCCAAAGACCTGAGGAGTAAGATTAAACGATGTGGAGTTGGGAAATAGAACAGAATGAGGAGATTTCCCTTGTAACACCGACGAAGGCATCCGATTAATAAGATGACAGGCCATGAGAACAGCATCACTCTAAAAACGTTTGGGAACATGCATATGGAATAAAAGCGCACGACATACTTCCAGGAGATGACAATTTTTACGTTCAGCTACTCCATTTTGTTGAGGAGTATAAGTACAAGATGATTGATGAATGATGTCTTTAGCATGAAAATAAGTCTCAAAAGGGTCCAAGAAATATTCTTTGGCATTGTCAAAACGTAGAACTTTAATGGAACATCCAAATTGAGTTTTTATTTCTTTGCGAAATATTTGAAAAATAGAGAATAACTCAGAACGATTTTTCATTAAAAACAACCAAGTCATACGAGAATGATCATCCACAAAAGTCACAAAATAACGAAATCCATTAATAGAAATATGTTTTATTGGCCCCATACATCTGAATGAATTAACTGAAAAGGACTAGCAACACGATTGTGAGCTCTCGGTTCGAAAGCACGACAATGCTTATTAAGCTGACATGCTTCACAAGGCATGGACTCAACACGACTAAGACTAAGACGGGGGACTTGACGCTGCAAAACTGATAAGGACGGGTGGCCGAGACGACAGTGCCACTGGAAAGGAGACAAAGATGATTGAAGAGCCGTGGGAGATGGTGAAAGATCAAAGTAATACAAGCCACCTATTTCATGTCCCGTACCAATCTTCTTCATCGTCTTGAGATCATGAAAAATACAACATGAGGGATAAAATGTAACGGAGCAATTAAGAGATTTAGTAATTTGACTAATGGACATCAAATTAAAAGGGAATTGAGGAATATATAATACAGAGGAAAGGGACATAGAAGAGGTGAGTTGGGTAGATCCCACACCCAAAATTTTAGCGGAGGAGCCATTAGCAAGAGTAACACTTTGAGAGGAAGGAACAGACTGAAAATCAAATAAGAGATGAGAACTACCAGTCATGTGATCTGATGCGCCAGAGTCAAGAATCCAGGAACTCTGACGAGAGAATAAGAGACATGCAGGTGCACTACCTGATTGGGCAAAGGAAACCATGGAAGATGAGGTGGAAGGCCGTTGTTGAGACATAAACTGAGCATACTCATCGCGGGAAACTGTCATAGTGACCATAGCAGGCTCAACAGCCACTGATGAAGCAGTTGGTGTGGCAGAGAAAGAAGAATCCCCTTCATTAGAGGTTACTTGATGTGCATAGGAAGAAGGTGACGGTTTCCCATAAAGATCCCAACAGTAATTGACAGTGTAATTAGTAAGACCGCAGTGAGTGCAGAGTTTGGAGTCTCTACCTCTGCCACGACCATGGCTACGACCACGTCCACAGGTAAAACGACCGCCACTGCCACGAGAAGACTGATAACCACCTTGGTTCACAACTAATGCAGAACGTTCACTGCTAGGAGGAGCAGTGACACCACTTGAAGCACTCCCGGAAGCGCCACTAGATAGAGTAGCACGCTGGAGCCTGGAGAACATATCAAGAAGAAAGGGAAGTGCAGGGCTACCCAAAATCTGTGCACGAACAGATTAATATTCTGGTGACAACCCCGTGAGAAACCGAACAGCATTAAAATCCTCACGTTGTTGTTGCATGCTCTTCACATTAGAGGTGATAGGCTGATACAAGTTCATTTCTTCACAAATTCCCATGGACTATGAGAAGTACTCTACGAGATTGTTAGTACCTTGCCGGAGGTCAAAGAATTGTCTGCACACCTCATAAATTCTGGTGATATTACCAGTACCGGAATATAGTTGTTGGAGGCGGTTCCATATCTCCTTGGCAATATCCAAATACAACAGGTTGGAGCTGATATTGGGTTCAATACAATTCAGCATTAAGGAAATGATCTGAGCATCCCTTTGTTCCCATGAACTGAAATCTGCATCACTGTCTTTAGGCTTCTCCTTAACCAAATGAGAGCCAAAGCCTTTGGCTTTCAGAAAAATAGCTACTGATTTGGCCCATAAAATATAGTTCTTCCCATTGAGCTTGACCGAAGTCATAGGAGGATTGAAAGAAGCAGAAGAAAGCAGGTCTGAACCGGCAGCCATAGAGAAGGAAAAAAAAAAAAAAAAAAAGATAGAAGAAAACCGAACCTTTAAAAAAAAAAAAAAAAAACTGAATCTGGATCTGGTCAGACGGGCCGGATCTGGGCAAACGGACCGAATCTGAACGAGTTCTCTGCTATTCCGGTTTTAGTAAACCAAGGTTGGGATAACTTCACGCCTGCAGCCAAACACCACCCTTCTCCTTCACAATCAGCGCCAGTAAGAACCAGAACTCTGCCACCGACAATAAACTCCAACAGCCGAGGTTCGCAATGGAGAATCAAGGCTAGTACACACCCTAGCCCTTGCAGCGGTGACGGCAAACCAACACAAACGGCGATCTAATAACTGAGCAGAGAGGGTTCGCGATGATGGAACCTCTACAACTTGCGACAGCCAAGGCAGCCTCGGCCAACAAAACGAAGGGCTTCAGATTTGAGAACGATGGACAAGAAGCGCTGAACACAACGACAGCTTCAAACCTCCGGCTCGAACAGAATGACGGCCAAACCTTCGGCGAAGAACAAAATCGGCTTCAATCTCGATTTCGATTTGTAGAAGACCACCACAGATGTAATCACAACCACAATCTTAGTTTCCCATTGTTTCGTACTGCTCTGATACCATGTTCAAACTGATGAGAGAGAGAGAGATCATGGTGGCTACTGAAATATATTTCTCATATGTATTAAACCCTAAGCCTACAGTGGCTTATATAAAGATACAAGACTCAGCTAATTACACAATGACCCTACCAACTATATGTAATTACATAATGACCTAAAACATTCTAACAGATACCAAGAGTGGGGGTTCTGAAAAGACCAGCTGAAGTGTGATTTCTTCAAGAAGACAAAGCACGCTAGGAACCATTGCTGGAAACTCCATGATCGTCCCACTAGAGGAAGAGGTGGTGGTCGATCTGGCACAACAGGTCACATGCCTATACGTCGGAGGTCTTAGAGGTTGTATCTCAACCTACCAATAGGGATACTACCACTCTTAGAGCAATGAGCTGCAGATACATCAATGCTTGATGACTCCGGTTAATACCTCATCTTGTACTAGTGGCTCATCTTCTTCTAACTTTGCTCACACAGGTATATCTGCTAGTGCTTTGAGTGAGTTTCCACCCTCCCATCCACGGGTCATCGACTCTGGAGCCACTGATCACATGACATGTTATTCTAATCTTTTTCATTTTTTATGTTAATTAAATTCTTCCAATCTTTTCTCCTCTTGTTCCACATTTATGTCAATATGCCACAACAGATATTTTAACACATTGCATTCACATCAGAACCTAGAAATCAACTTAAGACATAAGATCTGGGATCTGAACTAGAACACTAGATAAAATCCAGATCCAATCCATTTATGCAATATACAAATAAACTTCAAGTACAGAATACCTTTAATTGAGCCACAATTGAGCAATGCATCAACTATGGCAGTGTATGCTACTCTATCAATAAACAAACCATGACATGATTTCATTTCTGTCACAATCTTTTGAACTGATAGAAGATCATTTGCTTGCCCGAAACCCTGCATAAACGAAGTTCTTTTAATAATTGGATTAAAGGAAAATGAACACCCACAAAAAAATGTTTAAAAGTCCATTTTCAGCACAAGATCCCTTTGCTTATGACCAGATAAAGTGAAAGACGAGAAATTTAGAAATTCGTTGATATAAAAAAAGATATATATATATGACCAAGTAAAGATAAATATACTACTATAAATATTGTTTGCTTATTTTCTCACAGAAAGAGATGCAATATTTCATACACAATTCAATTGACATTGCATCCAGTATATGGTGCCAAGAGATCTCCTTTGGCATACCAGAGATTCTTAAAATTTTCATTTGTGCCATTTTAAAATTAATTAACTGAAAGACTAACTCACCTTAAGTAATGTAGTGTAAGTAACAATATCAGGAAAAAGATCACCATGGCCAACTTTCAATGCTTTATCCTGCAATAGTAACAGGTGTGTTTAATCAAGTGAGCCTGATTCGTTATACCCCTAAAATAAATTCTAAGCCTCTAAACATGTATTTCAAGTACATGGATGAGACCTTCATTTCCTCAAAAAATTGCATGGCAAAATCAAAATTTTCAGCCTTGACACATGCAAATATTAGAGTGTTATATGTGAGCCTGTCAGGACTTATTCCTCGCCGTAGCAATTCATCATGGACACCTAGTGCTGCTAGAGGAAGATCCGAGCTAATATAACCCTGAAAATAACAGAGGAAAAAAATCTCACCAAATGAACATTATTATCCATCTTTTGTCACAAGCACAGTAGCATGCATATTTTATAAACACTAGAACTCATAACTAAAAAAGAAGAAAATAAAAATAATATAGTAAACAAATAAATAAAATTTTATATGTTAAAAGTCTTGAGAAATGTATGTCAGTGTAAAAACCTTCATTAATAAGTTGTAAATCAAGATCGGTGGACTGCTGCCTTCATGAAGCACAAAATCATAGCGTGCAAGAAGACCATTGGCACGGCGTAGATCCCCTGCACTAGACCAACGCAACTAAGAAGGCACTATCAGCAAGCAAAAATGTATAACTTGCGTTATTTTCATCCAATATTAGAAAATGCATCTCGTGGTAAAAAAATACCCAGCATACTAGTAGTGATTTTTTAAATGAAGGACTTAATTCAATTAAACCACCCTCATTGACACTACTGATGTTGTGGCTTTAGCATTAAAAGAAGCTCCAAAAGCAACAGAAAAAGTAACACCGTACTCCTATATGTATCATGTGAATGTATATGCATATATATAACAGTATGTTGATAGTTGAGATAAAAGAACTAACCCAAGGATTTTTCTACTTGAAACAAAAAACAAAATAATATTAATATACATTAATGGATTAGAATGAATCATTTGTCTGTCTATACATTTGGAGCAGACACATCCCTTTTCAATTTCTACCACCAAAAGCTTAAAATGTTGGGATCAAGATCACATAGAAGGACATAAAATCTTAACATTGTTGGGATCATAATCACATTGAAGGACATAATGGGATAAAATTGAGTGATGCAGGAGCAATCCTCTTGAAAATGAGAAAATCATAACACATGATCACTGGCACTGTATCAGTTAAAGCAGTACTGTTCACAAGTATTATGGAAATTGCTGTCATAAGTATTCTACCAATACTCTAGTGCGACACAGTTAACACTACAATGGCAGAGTGCTGGAATGGGGACAACCCAAGTACAGGATAAGTATAGAAGAATACCTTAAACTAAACAATGCAGACTAGCTAATCAAACAGGAAACTCAAGCATTTGTTCAACTCATGCCTCGAAAAGTCCACCCATAAGCAGTAAGGCCACCCCCCCTCCCAACCACACCAAAAGAGGATAAAGGCGCCAACACCTAAACTGAATTTCTCCTTGTAATGTTGTGAGCTCTATCTTAATGACAAATTCAGCATTAACCTACTCACTTCAAAGAACTTAAGAAGTCTAGAGATAGAAACCCAAGGCTCTAATAAGTCAGAGTACACATGGTGTTTTATAATTTGAAATTTTCAACTAACTTTTAAAATCCTGCTGATTGCAATTTGAAATTCAGTTAATTAGTTCTATTTGCTACTAATACTTGTTCACACAATCACATAAACATAAAGAGTAAATAGAGAGAGCAGAGACACAAGATTCTTAACATGAAAAACTCTAAACAGAGAAAACCACGGGACCTATTTGAGTTGCGCCATCTCCGTTAGAAAGACCTAGAGCAGGTGAATAGGTCCAGTTTGCTCTTCTAATTGATTTTTAAACTCTTTTTAGATTTTAGTGAATTAAGCACAAATTCAATCAACCAACACACAAAACAGAAAAATAAAAGTAGAGTAAAGTAAGAGAGTAACACCAATAATTTTTACTGGAAAACCTGAGCGTGATAAAACCACGGAGACAAGTCGTCTCAGGCAAATCAATCCAGTATACTCAAGAGAAAGAGCACAATGAGTTCCAGTGCCTCGAGAACTGTTCTCCATGAGATGCAAATTCAATGCCTTCAGAATCACCTGTCGTTGATTTGTCTCCAACCCCAGTGTCCTCTAACTCTAGTGCCTTTGGAATCATCAACAATACTGATCCATGTCAACGCAATCACCTTGCGATGATCCACTTCTCATAGTGATCGATTGCCCTTTCTTCCACAGGAACATGTGAAGAACTAAAATGAATGCTGCGCTGATTATACTGAATATGTTCCGTAACAAGGTTCACAGCAACAACAATCAAGAAGGAACAACACACTAGACACTCAGATATTAACTTGTTCGAATTAAAGAAACAAAATTAAGAAAAATTTCAGCTTAATATTTCTCAAAAAGTCTAAAAAATACTCAATAATAGCTCGTCTATGAAAATCCGATAAAAGCTGAGTTTTTATACCTTAGAGAGTCCTCAATTCAACTGAAAAAGTCATCCAAAATCCTTAGAAGAAGTCTCTAGGAGTTTTGATAAGAAATAAAGAAAAAATAAAATAAAAATAAAAATAAAAAACAACTTGAAAATTAGTTTCTCAGTTGAAGTTGACAAGTTTGAACCAGTACAAGATTTTTTAGATCCGGTACAAAGGAATTCTGGACCAAAATGAATCAACTACAGAATCATGTACAACTGGTACAAGGTTTTGGCCAACCGGTAAAGCATTCGGGACTAAATTTTGTACTACAACAGAATCACATTTTACTGGTTTTGCATTTTCTACAACCGGTATAATAGCATTCTGCTTTAAAACCTCTAAGTCCAGTAGCTTCTTCAACTGGTACTAGGATCCTTAGAACTGGTTCAATCTTATTCTGTTGTAAAAAAACACTAACGAAAAATTTCACAAAAACACTTCAACTAGAACCATGTGCAACGTGTACTCACAACACTCACTTACCTGACCTGAGTGTTGTTCAACCAAGTTTGTCCGTACTCGAGCTTGTGTTTATCAAACCATTCTCCGCTTTCAAAACCGAGACTCAAAGAAACAAAAATTGAAACTCAATAAACAAGTTTTGATTACAAATTTTGCCCAGACTCAATTAGGTCAGCCTTGTCCAGCCATGAACAAACCACTATGAGAAAGAGATAACAACAGGTTACCAGAATCCCTAGTTACCTCTTGATGTGAACATACCAAACTCTGCACTTGAGTCTCTAGGTTGTCTATTCTGTTAACAGATTCACTCCTCACAATCTACTTCTCCGTGGCTTCTCCAATCCCTCTACTCTTTCATTGATTGGTTGTATTATACTTTTGGAATTGATTCTGCTAATCTCTTATTTTAAAACACTTGATCACACATATCAGCCTATTGAAAACCCTAGATTGAAAAACAAGGACTTTTCTCTCTCTCTAATGTTTACAGGCTCAAGTCTGTCCTTTTAGACTGACTATGACCTCATATTTATAGCCGATATAGGAGTTCATTAGGATTAGAACTTGGTGTTGGCAAATTTTGTATCAAAAGTTGGAGTATGTAACTTGTGTTTTATTTTCAAAAATTAGTTTAGTTAGTTAGTTACATGAGATACTGTTAATAAGGGTTAATCTTCCACTCTGATAATTACTGCCTTTTTCTGAAATTATTCCTGGTGCTCTATCCAAGTAAAACTTCCGAGCCACGCATACACTTTTGGTATTATTTTAACTTCATTGTTGGAATTTTAGTAGTTTCAAGAAATACAACTTAATAAATAAAACAGAAAAAATTTAATTTTCTCTGAGTGTATAGAACCTAACCTGCTTCAATAAGAGCATTTAGCAGACCATAGATAAGTGGTGCTGACAACTTTGGCCTTCCCACAGCAGTGCCTTGTTCGACAGATTCAAGTAATTGAAATGCTTCATCAATTCTTCGAGCATCGCCCAACCCCTTTATAAAATAAGGAAGAACCAGTCATACTTCAAGATGGATGAATTCTGTGAGTTGCAACTACATGTACTGCAGATAACAAATTACCATAACCCAAAAAAAATAAATAAATAAATGTTAAAGATAATACTGAAGTTGTGGTAGTCAAAATGGCAAGGGGGCACAGGATATTGTCCTATAGTTATTAAGGCATCAAAGCAATCGCTAATGCACCTCTTATAATTGATCAGACATGACATACACGGATTTATAATTGCCAAGTCGTCTCTAAATATACATTTGCAAGCATTGTTCTGCTATAAGTACATAAATAAAATATAAATAAATAAAAACGTAATTAACAAAAATTATATCTAACAAAGTACAAACAACAAGAAGAACGAGAACGAAAGAAAGAGGAAAAACTGTTTATTCAAAAATAATTTACAAATATCTGGAAGAGTGTTGTATCTCCAATATGTAAAGACAATCCTACAGAGAAAGAGAGAGAATCCTTCTTACATGTTGAAAAAAAAAAAAAATTTTGAAAAATGATAAGGAAAAAAAAAGAAGCAATTTCTTTTCCCTCCCACTAAAGTGACAAAACATTGCTACATATTACCCATAAACTATTGAAGAATATAAAATCGATTAGAATGGGGTAAAAGTATTCATAAAGCACCCAAAAGAGTTCAAAATCAGGGCTTTGCTTAGTTTTTTCTTTTTCTTCTTATGCCCTTTTTTTTTTTTTGCCCATCCCTATATTGTAATCATTTTAAGTTATTTGCTTAAAAATTTATTGGATTATTTTTTAACTAAATCCCAATTAGCTTGTGTTTATGTTCTTGTTCCAATTATTTGAACAAATTTTTTTTTTCAGATTCACAATTGTTTTCTGAAGAGCAATCAGTGACAGATGAGATTTGCATTCTACAGTTGAATAGCAACTGCAGCATTGAGAGATCTATCAATCACTAGTGAAGAAAAGGCAACTCATAAAGAGTAATTGCGTTGACAAGGAAAGCCAAGGGCTGGTGATTACGTGTGGAGTTTGGACTTGTGGAGATAACTTTGTGAGTCAAAGCTAAAGCAACTGGCTAGTGATTCTAAGGTTAGAAAGTGGACTAGCAGGGTAAGGTTGTATCCATTCTTCAATGTAATGGACTATTTGAGCTCTAGACTTGGTCCGGTAGTTTCCTTCCATTTGAGTTTTCCACATAAGAATTTGGTGTCTTTGTACTTTCTTGTTTCTTTTAACTTTTGCTATATTAATGCTGTTGGTAATTACTGAAAAGTGAAAATTGTTCACTGAGCAAAGTCAATCTATAAACCCTTCTCCGCGTCAATTCAAACTAAGGATCCAACCAGGTACTCCATTGTGCAAGTCTCATTTATAAATTCTACAAAGTTTATTAACTATCAGTAAAAATCCAAGTTCATGGAGTTAAAACATCTCTATCACAATATATAGGGCATTGTGCAATGGAAAACTATCACAACTGTGATAGCACATCTGTTACGTAATGCCATTACACACAATTTCCACGTCATCATTTTCATTACCATTATTCCGGCCATACAACTTTTTCAAAACTATGCTAAAGACACACACGGACCAAAAAATATATATATGAAGAAGAAGAAGAAGGAGGTCATATTGTGATTATGTTTATTGCATTACACCTATGATGTCCACAATAGTACAATGACATTTGGGATCCTCGATATCATCAATGGTTAGATGACTAAAATCGACTTGATCATGTCATGATGACTAGAAGTTTATAAGATTTAAAACATAAATCCTGCATCATAAATATATGTCAATAAACCATAACATGTGTCTTTTAGATCTAGAAATACAACAGAAAAGGATCTTCATAAATTTGGAATTAGTTGCAAGATCAAGTAACCTTCTTGAATGCAGTCAACTCCAGTTTTGTTTATATCATTTTCCTAATTGGTTCTCCGAAACAGAAAAATAAAATGCCAACATAATTTTGCAGCTGTATTTAGTGAAACCAGCAAGGAGAAATTTGTGCACTTAAAGACATAGTCATAGATGCATCATAACTGGATATAGCTTCTACACTCGTGCTCAATTGATCATACTCTGGCATAATGAAACACAGACACATATAATTGAAACAATATTTACACAAGAGAACATTGAAGTACCTTCAACAGTGTACCATATGTGATATCATCAACCCCACAACTCTCTGGCCTCGACATTTCATCGAACACCCGGAGAGCTGAATCAACATCGCCGCAATGAACACAAGCCCGCATTACCGCGTTCATCACAATTGTATTCAACTTCCCACATTGCTTCTTTGCAATCTCAATTTCCTCAAAAATCTGACCAAAAAAAAAAAAAAAACAAACAAGCAAACAAGCACTCATAAAAATTGAATAGTACAGTGAGTAAAATCACAGAGATACATACACAAATACCTATATATATATATATATATATATATATATGTTCAAATTGATCATAAATGACCTGACAAAGTTGTCGCCTGCGAGTGAGTTGGACGATGCGAGAAGTGAGTCGTTTGAGATTGGGTATGGAGGGGAGGGTTTGAGGTTTGTGCCTTTTGAGTGGGTGTCGAGAGACTGGCGAAGAAGAAGAAGAAGAGAGAGTGTGGAAAGGTTGTGAGGGTTTTGATTTTGAAGGATTGCAAAATCTGAATGAGGGAGTGAGAAAGGTTTCATGAGAAAACAGTGAGGTACAAAGTTGATGCATTTTTTGGTTTGAATTTGATGTAACTACCCATCACCTATGCATACACGGCTGAGTGTTCTGCATTGTTCTTGCAGCTACACATGATACATCAGCCATGAATGTACAGGTTAGAGAGAGAGAGAGCGGGAGTGGGTGGATAATGTGAGGGGACAATTGGCGCGTAATCTAGCCATCTTACCCCTTTCCTTTTTTTTCTTTTTTTTCACTGGATTACAACCTTTATTTTTTTTTTTAAATAATATAAATTAACTATGGTTTTTACCGTGGCAATTAATGATTGCCGTATATTTTGATTGTTGTAAAATGGGAGCTAATTAGATTGGGAGCACGTGCCACTGAATTCTGTGCTGGATCTCTCCTGTGTTGGAGAGGATCCTTACTTCCCAGAGTCCTTATTTAAGTCAAATAAAATAGAAACGGGTGTGAGAGTGGAAGCTTGGACAAATAAAATTTAATCACCCCAGAACATTTGCACATTTTGTATGTTATTTACTAGAAAATATATTTGAGTTAAAAGTGACATTATTTCAAATATACCAGGAGATACATAATATTAGTAATAATTAAAATATAAATATTATAACATATATATTCTTTTTAGAGAAATGCAATCTTAGAAATTTATATATTTATTATACATTCTTAAAGGTCATATTGTTTAATTTGTACATAAAATGAATACTTTAAACAACTAAAATAATAATAATAATAATAATAATAAATAAATAATTCGAAGGACTTAACAAAAAAAGTATTTGTATAATTTGATTGCACACTTAGATGTGACAAAACAAAAGTGACCAATATAAAGTTAACTATAATATAATATGACAAAGATTTATTATTCTTTTTTTAATCATAAGTTTATTCTTAGTTCAATATATTTCTAATCATTTTTATACCATATTAGATACATTTTGGTAATTGCTTTCAATAATAAATATCACATTTAATTGTCCATAATTTTTTTTTTTTTTTCTTTTTCTTTTTCCTGGCAACAACAATAACAGCCAAACAAAGAAACCAACAAAACCAGAACCCACAAAGGAATCGAGCATGAAACCCCATAGCATCACCCGAGGCCAAAGCAGCAATCAGAAGAGGAAAAGTCTCAAACACTCGATCAAAGTCCAATAGGTCACGTGAAAGCTGAGCAAGGGCATGAGCCACCCGATTACTAAATCGCCAGGCATGAGAAAACAAAGTCCTAGAGAAAGCTTTCAAACCCTGATGAATATCGAACACAACTGAAGTAATTTCATATGGACAAGAGCTGACTTTGGCCAAAGCATTCACAACCAATTTCGCATCAGATTTAAAACACACATGTTGATAACCAAGAGAACTAGCCCAAAAGACAACACAGCGAAAATAAATGCCTCTGCCACTAAAGCCAAAGAACAAGGAAATTGTTTAAACACCACAGCATGAAGTATGGTTCCATTAGAATCCCGAAAGACTACACCCCCTCCACCCAAACCAGGATGCAATTGAAATCTAGCATCAATATTACACTTCACAAACCCAGACAAAGGAGGCAGCCAAGTCGGTGAGGAGGTACACACACATTCCTGCCCCATCTTCGTGCAGTTAAGCTGAGCCTCTTTAAATTCCCAAAAGTGACACACAGCTAGACTAACCACCGCATCCGGCTTCCATACCTCACCCTCAAAAACTTTCTATTTCTAGCCTTCCATAGAAACCAAACACAAAAAGAAGATAACCCCAAAACAAAAATTTTATCCGGTGAAGATTCAGCATGGGAAACAATACGATACCATCCGTCCACAAAAGACTGTAAATGCTCAAAGGAAAAATCGAATCGAAAGGGCGATAATTTCCATACTTGCAGAGAGTGAGGATAATAAAAAAATAAATGAAGAACGTCCTTCTCCTCTAAACCACATCTGGGACAGATACGAGACTCCAAACATCGTTTAAACATAAGAGCATTTCCTGTAGAAATAGCTTCGTGACAGTACTGCCATATAAAATGTTTCACTTTAGAAGGAACCAAGCATCGCCATAATTTAATTGTCCATAATTAATGAATGAGAAATCGTTGTAATTTTGAAGATTCACAAATTGAATTCATAAATTGACAAAATTGAATTTACGAATTATAGAATGATTTGCTCTCAGAGCGCCAATTTGTGTGCATAGCGTGAGAGCGATACTTCTTTAAAAAGATTATGTAACTTAGGTACTTATTAGACTCTATTTATTTGGATAATTAAAAAAACGATGGATTTTTGTAACAGTACTAAAAAAAAAATTAAATACTTACTCCCTTTAATATTTTTAAAAATTATAATTATATCCTTAATTTAAAAATATTCATGATAAAATGCAAAAAAAAAAAAAAAAAAAAAAAAAAAAAAAAAAAAAAAAAAAAAAAGAAGAAGAAGAAGACCTGCTATATACACAATGTGCAAATATCCCTTATGTTCAAAAAAAAGAATTCCCTATATTTTTAAAATTGAGCAAATAAGGACGATACTTCACTTTTGAATAACGACATTCACAAAATTCCCTTAAGATAAAATTAAAACAAATTTGTTTAAAAAAATTTCTTGCGACTTTTGCTTCACGCTATTTTTTTCTAATTCATTTTAAGTTTTGAAAAATGTTCACATTAGCGTAATAAAAAATATAGTTATAAAGTCTTTTTAACAATTACATTGACTAAAATTTAATAATTAATCCAATCACATTTAACCCAAAAAAATAATTAAGAGTGACAATAGTGATTTCTTAGTACCGTGTTGCAAACTCTGATATAGATACAAATACACCAATGCTATATATGGGAGTACCATCCACAATTTGGATTTAAGATGGAAAAAAATTAATTATAAATTTTAAACTAAATTTTCTTAGATTCAAATCCAAAATACCCATTCCATGCTTCTAAATCTTCTAAATACAACATAATTAAAATTATGCTGTATTTTATTATGTGAATGTGTTATTATGCCTATTGTTACAAGGGGTAATTGTCCTAGGATCTAGATGGAAAGTAAAATGAATATAAATGGATGGATATGCAGCACTACCTAATAGTTTAAGAGCCCGTTTGGAATTGTTTATCTACTGCTTAAAAGCGTTTTTCTTTTGAAAAAGTTGCATTTAAATATGCTTTTAAACTGGGTTTTGAGTATAAGTTGAATATTTTAAATAACTATTTTTTGTTAGATAATTTTGTCCTTTTAATTTTTTATAAAGACAATTACATTCCTTACTTAATAAAGTTAATATTATCAAATATGGTAATATCATATTAAAGGATATTATTGTAAAATTAGCAATAAAAGTGTTTTATAAAAAATTATTATCAAACAAATTAAAAAATAATTTAATTGTGTAAAGTACTTATTATATTGTGTCGCCAAACGCCTAACATACTTATTACTAACTGCAATTTTTTTAGAGCTATACTTATAAAAGCATTTTTTTATATTTATTTATTCCAACAACAACCCCAAACGGGTTCTTAGCTTTTGGGTAAATGAGCAAGTGCTCATCTATTATAGGTATCAGAGCCAGACTCTATTACTAAAGGTTAAACATGCTTGACTCCGGAGTTCTGTGTAACGACCCAGCTTCTCATGGATCTGGATCATTAAACGGGTCCTAACCCGGCCTAAAAACATCCAAGGGTAAAATGGTAATTTCACGTTAAATTAAAATGTTGAGTTCCAAAAAGGGCAAGATGGTAATTTGCCATATTTCAATAAATTAAGACCCAAAGGACGTCATAATCATTTACGTGCATCACACAATAATTAAAATGAGGTCCGGGGTAAAACAGTCCTTTTGAGGCAAAAATAAAATTATGACATTTAATTGGGTCATAAAAATAATTAATTTCAACTTCAAATGATGCCAAAGTGTAATTTTAAGAACTTAAATTGGTAATTACATGAAAAGGCAGAACCGGTCGACGTATACTCCTTATACGTCGTTTGGGATATGAACAGTAGGAAAACCCACTGCCATGATACCGGTCGACTGATTTGGGATACCAGTCAACTGGTTTGGGACGTGAATTGCTCAAACATACTGTGAAGATACCGATCGACCGGTTTGGGTTATACGTCGACCGGTTCTAGAAAATCTTCACTCCCACTTTCCACTGTCCTGTGTGACCCTGTACTCCAACTTTTGTTCGTTTAACCACCCACGTGACTACACTTACGTACAAAATTAATACATTCCAACTTCAACAATAACCACGTTCCTATCACAATTTGCCATATGTCACTAAAATACACTAGAGGATTTAATGTACAAAAATAATAAATACATTTTAACATCAAATAAAAATACAATAACCATCAACAACATGAACTACCACACGTTACTCAAATACACAAAAAGGCTTATGATTGGTTAAAACTTAATTACATTATCCAATGGCCATAATTGCAAACTTATTTATATTCTCCAAAAATTATGATTATACGTGCAATGGTCAAATACAAAATAGCAAAAAAAATCATCTTCAAACATCTTTCAATTTTGAGGTGGATTGGCATCCGCCGGTTCTTTTCCAAGACCTGAAAAAAAATAATAATAATATATAGTAGAGTGAGCTATATGCTCAGTAGGTGACACTTAAGACATGCGTCTTGTGTCCCCGTGAATCCAATCAAAGCATAGGCCAATGGGAAATAGGAAGCATGCAACATAGGGGATTAATACATTATTCCAACCAAATTAGAATACAAAGAACGTTATGCCGTGGAATGCGAATGCATGCTAATGCCACTCCCCATTTTCATTCTCAAAACCATCACTTTCCAAATGTTAATACAGCCCGCCCTTTGGTAACCGCGCCGCGACACGAGAGGAGGATTGGCTAGTGTCCTTGACCCTTGGTAACCTCGCGGCGTCATTATGGGGCCCAGCTAGCTTAACCACGCTAGGGCGACTCCCTAGTTCCCCCCTAAGCTATATTAACCTCCGGCCCGTTGGTAACCCTGCAGCGACCGGGTTTGCATAAAACCATTTCCAAAACATTCATATCCCAAAAATCCCCTTTTTCATTTCAAAACCAATTCCTCCCATTTCATGCAACCTAATGATGCATTTGTGTATATATGCTCCATGGTTCCAAAATTAAGACATTTAAATAACAACAACAACCACTCAAGCATATATCATGTTCAACATTTCAAAATGGATTATCGTCAAATTAAACACAACAAGGTAGCATCTAGACATACTTTTCACATAATACAAGTCACATTCAATATCATGAAATTCTCTAGACATCACTAATATAATCATTGATACAATTAACTCCTAAATTAAACACATTATCACACAGGGAAGGTATAATTCACAAAAGAGCAAGAAAACATGAATTAAGATGCCCCTACCTTAAGTTTGCATCAAAACCCTAATAATGGCTCCCCAGATTCGAACTCCAAGGAGGGAACTAAAACTGAAATTGCTTGTATGGATGCGTAGAGCTCGTCGCGCTCGTCGTTTTGCCTCAAATGGCACCCAATTCCGACAAGTAATGAAGATGAACTCAAGGATCAAAGTTTGTCTCAAAAAGAAAAGAAAAATGGAAGATAAATTGAGAGTGAAGAGGGATTTACGGGGAGAGAAAGTGTGAAGCAAAATAGTGGTCTCTAGACCACTTTTGAAATAGTGGTGGGCCCCGAAATTTCTTTTTATTTACTCTTTTTCTTTAATCTTCCATTTTCTACACCACACAACTCATATAGTGCACCACTACATAAAAATACTACTCAACCCACATAAATTAAAATGCACAATACAAATGGACCCAACCACAATCTCGAACACAACATGCGAAAAGACAGAAATACCCTTGTCTCCATGAATTATTGGAAAAATGAAAATGCTGAAAAATCAGAAACATCACATTCTGGTAAGTCCACGGCCGGCATGGCTTTAAAACGCGTTGTGTCACCTTAGTCAGACACAATATTGTTCACTTTTGGCTCACCTAGACTAAAGACTTCCCAGGGGTCACCCATCCTGGTACTTCTCCAGGTTAAACACGCTTAACTCCAAAGTTCTGACGAGTTCATGGCTTTAAAACGCGTTGTGTTATAAAAGGGTGTTGAATCTACATATAGCGCTGACCTCTTCCACACCCAGACGATGTGGGATTGTGCACCTGTAACTTGTCCAGTGTAGTAGTCTACTAGTACCACCTGCACACGCTCACACACACCCGTCCATAAGGTCGCCACACTCAATCCTTAATTCGGTGTCACACCAAGCCCCCGATCTAAAGGCATCCGGGTGAGCCCATCCGGGTAGGCAGGGGACCAACCGACCAATTGCACCTATATATATATTTTTTGTTGTATTTTTTAGGGGTGCCAATTTGTGTTCGTGTGTCATAATCGTGTCTTGTTCACCTAAGAGTATTCAATTGAAGAAGTTAATCCAAACACGATCCATTTAATAATCGCGTTAGGAACCTTTAACACTGACCCGATCTGTTTATTAAACGAGTTAGGCATGTTAATCTATGATACACAATCATATATTATATTATTTAGATTATCTATAATACACAATCAAACAATAAATACTTTAAAATATATACAATAGTTAAAGAGCTAATATATATATATATATAAAACTTATGTTGAAATGGCATAGCTATTCATAGTAATTGGGTCTAAACAGGTAACGAGTTACACGAGTGATATTAATACGATTACGAAACTTTTAACTAAATGGATCTAAACGAATTACATGTGTTGAACTCTTCAATCTTAACACAACACTATTAATTAAATGGGTTAATAATATTGACTCGATTATAACCCAAGTCCATTTAAAATAAATCCGAACTCGTTTATATCGTGTCGAGTGTCAAATTTTGTACTATAATTATTATTCTAATTTTCTTTGAAATTATTAGGTGACATCATCAAAAAAAAAATGTTAGGGTAAAGTACAACCACACCCCTTAAGGTTTGATAAAAGGACATTCAGATGAAATTTACTTATTTTTTGGACAAAGATACTTCCTAAATGTTAAAAAATGGACAAAGACACCCCTTTACATGAGAAATTGACCAAATTATCCGTTGACCGTTTAAGAGATTTTTTTAACTTTATAATTTAATAAATTGGACCAATATACCCTCATGAACAATTTATGCATAAAAAAAAGTAAAAAAAAAAAAAAAAAAAAAACTTTATATTGTTCACTTTTTTTTTTTTTTTTTTTTATTTACTTTATAAATGTCCCAACTTCTTGAAAATGTAGGCGTCTAAAATAATTTTTTGATTCAATACATATATTTCAAATAAATTATATTTTGTTATTACTTCTTTTCTTTTTCTTTTTTATTTTTAAATTAAGATGCTTAATTCTTTCATCTAAAAAAATTAAACCAATATTTTTTCCTTAAAAATAAAAAATATGGTACCAGTATAACTTTATGCATCTTAAATTATATATCAAATATTATGCATATCTCAACATAAAAGGGAAAATAATAATAATAAAACAAAGGGAAAAAAAATAAATAAAATAAAGGCATGCATAAAGTTATACTGATACCTATTTTCTTTTATATTGGGAAATGAGTAATATTTTATATATAATTTAAGATGCATAAAGTTATATTGGTACCATATTTTTTATTTTTAAAGAAAAGAGATTGATTTCATTTTTTTAGATGGAAGAATTAAGCATCTTAATTTAAAAATAAAAAAGAAAAAGAAAAGAAGTAATAACAATATATAATTTATTTGAAATATATGTATTGAATCAAAAAATCATTTTAGACGTCTACATTTTTAAGAAGTTGGTATATTTTTTAAGTAAATAATTAAAAAAAAGTGAATAATATAAAGTTTTTTTTTTTTACTTTTTTTAAAATTTTTTTTATGCATAAATTATTAATGAGGGTAGATTGGTCTAATTTATTAAATTGTAAAGTTAAAAAAAGTCTCCTAAACGGTCAAACGGTAATTTAGTTAATTTTTTATGTAAAAGGGTGTGTTTTTCTATTTTTAAACATTCAGGGGTATTTTTGCCTAAAAAATAAGTAAATTTTTTAAAAATATTTTTGTACCAAATCTCGTAGGTGTGAGTGTACTTCACCCTGTTACTCCTATTTGATTGCATTTGCAACACTTGATTGGCCGAGATCCCTAATAAATTATTCTTTTACTTTTTCTCGCACGGTTACTAATTTAGCCGAATAAGTTTACAGTGAAGTTACACAATCGCTTGGTCGTCCGTTGCAATACAACACACTGTGCGGATCGCAGATCTGAAATATTACACCCAAACACTTGTGATAGACTCATATATATAATCACACTCTCTGTTGCTGTGATCGCAGATCTGCTCTATTTCTCTCTCTATACACACACTATATATATATACACACACACACACTATACACACATCTGCAAAATTGAGACTTTGTTTTTCCTCTCCGCACGGAGGATTTGAGAAGATTGGGATTGAATTTCTGAATCGGACTGGTAAGTTTAGTCTCTCTCTCTCTCAATAAATTTCAGACAGATTTAGGTTTCAATTTGGATCTGAATTGAGAATTTATGAATCTACTAGTATCAATTGTTTATCAGAAAACAAGGGCAAAATTTTTATCTTTTGTTTGCAAGTAGAAACCGAGGGAACGAACAGATCTAGTTGCAAGCTCAATAATATTTGTACTAAGCCCCTTAAATCGTTAACCTTAAGCCAGATCTATTTTGTATAAATGTTATTGTCTTTTATATTTAACTATATCTCTGTGTATGTCTGTGTATATACCTGTATCTTTTCTGATTTGGGCTTAAAATTTGATCGTCTCTCATTTTCTCCCTCTATATGTGTTATTGTCTTTTATTCAACTATATCTGTGTGTGTCTGTGTATATATATACCCGTATCTATTCTGATTTGGGCTTAAAATTTGAACTTATCTCGTTTTCTCTCTCGTTGCACATTTTGTATGCTCCATCAAGGTTACCCACGAGTGCCATTCCTATATTATGTTCATAGATAGTCAGATTTAAGATTAATTTCTGGATCTGACTTGAGAATGTTTAAATTTAGTTTCAGAGTGTGATTGTAAAACAAGGGTGGCACTATGGAGAAATCCTGCTCGCTTTTGATTCACTTTGACAAAGGGACACCTGCTCTTGCGAATGAGATCAAGGAAGCTCTTGAAGGGAACGATGTTCCTGCAAAGGTGGATGCCATGAAAAAAGCAATTATGCTTTTGTTGAATGGTGAAACCCTGCCTCAGCTTTTCATAACAATTGTTAGATATGTGTTACCATCTGAAGACCACACGATTCAGAAACTATTGCTTCTTTATTTGGAGATCATTGAGAAAACCGATGCCAAAGGTCGGGTTTTACCTGAAATGATTTTGATATGTCAAAATTTGAGGAACAATCTTCAGCATCCGAATGAGTACATTCGGGGGGTAACGCTACGATTTCTTTGTCGTTTGAATGAGGTGGAGATTATTGAGCCTTTGATTCCTTCCGTTTTGGCAAATTTGGAGCATCGGCACCCGTTTATTAGGCGGAATGCGATTCTTGCTGTGATGGCAATTTACAAGCTTCCACATGGTGAGCAACTTTTGGTTGATGCACCAGAGATGATTGAGAAGGTTCTTTCAACAGAGCAGGATCAGTCCGCCAGGAGGAATGCATTTCTTATGCTTTTTACTTGTGCCCAGGATCGCGCCATTAATTACCTTTTGACTCATGTTGATAAAGTACCAGACTGGGGAGAATTGCTTCAGATGGTTGTGTTGGAGTTGATCCGAAAAGTATGTAGAGCAAATAAGGGTGAGAAAGGGAAATACATAAAGATCATTATATCTCTACTGAATGCCCCTTCATCTGCTGTTATTTATGAATGTGCCAGCACTCTTGTTTCATTGTCTTCTGCCCCTACAGCTATTAGAGCTGCTGCCAATACTTATTGTCAGCTTATTCTCTCTCAGAGTGACAACAATGTTAAACTTATTGTGCTTGATCGGCTGAATGAACTCAAATCCTCTCATAGAGAGATTATGGTTGATTTGATTATGGACGTTCTTAGGGCACTCTCAAGCCCGAATCTTGACATTCGGAGGAAAACAATTGATATTGTTCTTGAGTTGATCACCCCTCGTAACATCAATGAGGTTGTTCTCACTTTGAAGAAGGAAGTTGTTAAGACTCAGAGCGGGGAGCTTGAGAAGAATGGAGAATACCGGCAAATGCTTATTCAAGCCATTCATTCTTGTGCAATCAAGTTCCCAGAAGTGGCAAGCACAGTGGTTCATCTATTGATGGATTTCCTGGGCGACAGCAATGTTGCTTCAGCTATGGATGTGGTGGTTTTTGTGAGAGAGATAATTGAAACCAACCCAAAATTAAGGGTTTCTATTATTACCAGGCTACTGGACACTTTCTACCAGATCCGAGCAGCACGGGTGTGTTCCTGTGCACTTTGGATTGTTGGAGAGTACTGCCTATCTCTTTCTGAAGTTGACAGTGGTATTGCAACCATTAAGCAGTGCCTCGGAGACCTACCATTTTACTCGGTATCAGAAGAAGGGGAACCTACTGATTCTTCACAAAAGTCTAATCAAGTAAACTCCATAACAGTTTCATCTAGAAGACCAGCTATCCTTGCTGATGGGACTTATGCTACACAGAGTGCTGCCTCTGAAACTGCTTTCTCGCCCCCTGCTATTGTTCAAGGATCCTTGGCTTCTGGAAATCTGAGATCCCTTCTTCTCACTGGTGACTTTTTCCTTGGGGCAGTTGTGGCCTGCACGCTGACAAAGCTTGTTCTGAGATTGGAAGAGGTTCAATCATCAAAAGTTGACGTGTACAAAGCCTCCACTCAAGCATTATTGATCATGGTCTCAATGCTACAGTTAGGGCAATCTTCATTTCTTCCGCACCCAATTGATAATGATTCTTATGATAGGATTGTTCTCTGCATAAGATTGCTTTGCAACACTGGGGATGAGATCAGGAAGATATGGCTGCAGTCCTGCCGTGAAAGTTTTGTTAAAATGCTTTCAGATAAACAGTTCAGAGAAACAGAGGAAATTAAAGCGAAGGCTCAGATTTGTCATGCACAACCAGATGACCTTATTGACTTTTACCATTTGAAGAGCAGGAGGGTAAGAATTTCAGCAATGATGTTTGTATTTGATTTTAGAAAGCCTGATAAACGTCATACCGTTTTATTGTTGACTTCTATATTTTATTTTTCTTAATTCTAATGTCAGCTCAATTTGCACTTTCTCATTTTGTAGTAAGTTTATTAACATTAGCCTTTTTCTTTGCATAATCCTTACTTACTTGAGTAGTTATATATACCTTTATTAAAAGAGTTGCAGTTCTACTTCCAGTGGATGGATCCAACTGTGCACATTGTCTTTTCTCTTCTTTTTGTGCACTTGTTTTTTGTATACTTGCTAATTGTTACTAAATTTTTTTCATAGATAAGTCCATCCATTATCCATCTTCAACGTCAAAGTAAAATTTTAGTTTATGGTGCTAGTACTTTATCTAAGCTTCAAAATAGTTGATTTTTTATTTGTTTGTTTATTTTTGGTTGAAATTTTACCTAGTTAGTCAAAATGAAAAAAAAAAATGTATGTTATATATAATAAAGATTATGTTCACTACATCTTTAGGAGATTCCTTAGGACAGTTTTTATAGGATTGAAATATATTTGTGGAAATATTTTAGCTTGCTGCATAGTGTCGGCAAAACCACCCCCACCACCCCCCCCCCAAAAAAAAAAAAATTATCCTGCTTGATCTTCTTGGCTTATGTTGGTACCTGATAATCGTTCAGTGTGTCTTTCATTTATGAATGTGAGGTTTGTGTAATTTTTGTTGTTACTTCGATAGTTTTTGACTCCTTGTGTATGGCATACCATTTGTTTCTGATGTGTCTCAGCTTTATCTACTTTCCAGGGTATGAGCCAGCTGGAGTTGGAAGATGAGGTCCAAGATGATTTGAAACGTGCTACTGGGGAATTCATCAAGGATGGAGATGACGCAAATAAGCTAAATCGTATTCTGCAGCTCACTGGATTTAGCGATCCAGTTTATGCCGAAGCTTATGTGACAGTCCACCATTACGATATTGTCCTTGATGTTACGGTTATTAATCGAACCAAGGAGACCCTCCAGAATTTGTGCTTGGAGTTGGCAACTATGGGCGATCTTAAACTAGTTGATCGTCCACAGAACTATACTTTAGCTCCTGAATCAAGCAAGCAGATAAAGGCCAATATTAAGGTGTCCTCAACTGAGACTGGAGTCATATTTGGGAACATTGTTTATGAGACATCAAATGTACTTGAGCGGACAGTTGTTGTCCTCAATGACATCCACATTGACATTATGGACTACATCTCTCCTGCTGTGTGTAGTGATGTGGCTTTCAGGACCATGTGGGCAGAGTTTGAGTGGGAAAACAAGGTACTTCAACCATTCCTCTGTTGACTTATTTCCACAAGTACAATTTTGAACTGAGTGTTCATTTTTTGATGCAAGCTTCCAAAATATTTTTGTAAAAGAAAATGTGAAGGGTTTGATTCACATAACTAAAAGGCCACTAGTGATAAATTAATCGAACTTCAGGAGCAAACTAGAGTGGGAACACTCCCTTAACTCCTCCATGAATCTGGACTAATTTAAATCATTTCCATTATGATTGAATTTTTAATCCAGACTGCATATGATTCAATTTTTTGCTTAGTGTTCAGGACCTGCTTAAAAATGTTAGAATTGCTGTAGTCACAGTTGTTACTGCATATGATTCATTGAATTTGGCCATTCTACTGCCTTCTGTTACCCCACCAATCTTCCCAGGCAATTATTGTATTTTAAATCGTCTATGACTTTGCATAACTTGCGAATCCAACAGCTGTTTTTATCGATGACAGTTTATAATTCAAAATAATTTAAACCACTTGCTGTCTGTCTGATTTGCACAAGGGAGTTTTCCTCAGTCTCTAACCCATGTATTTTTTTTTTTGGTCACTCCTAGCCTTAACCATTACATTATACCAATCAATGGTAAATATACCCAAACACGTGCATGCGCTTTTAAAATAAAGAATTCCTTGTTATAATTCGAATGCCGTTTTTGTTAAAGCAATTGATTTCTTGGACAGATAGCTCTTGTTACATCACTTCAAAATTCAAATATTCCGGAGAGTTGAATTATTTAGGACAGAATTCTTGTTTTGTTTGATCTTTCTATTTGTGTTGTGATATGTTTCTATTTTGATTTGCTCAGCTGAATTGATTTTTTTGTGATTAGCAAACAAAATGAGAATGCCTAAGTTCCTAACTAACTTTACCTAAGCTTACTTCTGGTAGTTGTTACACTTGTTTGTCATGCAGACTGATTTTTAATGCACTAGTATTATGTTGCTAATATTTTCGACTTGTCAAAGGAAAAATGTTGCTGATATTTATTGAATTAGTAAGTTGAGACATTTGAGTTAGTAAGATGCATGATATGGTTTTCCTGTTCTGCACAGACGGTGTTTGGTCCGTAAGATTGATAGTGTGACGATCAAATTAAAGAATTTCAGTGCTTGGTCTTTTTTTTGTTTTCTTTTTGAAGGATTGCAATAATATAAATGAGAAGGGTGCATAAGTTTACAAAGGGTTGTGAAACAAACCAAGCTACTGTAGCTCATGTCTATATCATCTTGGTAAGATAAATAGGCCTAGCTTAATCATACTTTGAAGCTCAATTAATCTATCAAGACCAGTAAGAACTCAACTTGATAAGCTAACGGGCAATCTAGTACTATATAGATAACGGGTAATAAGTTACAGTCACACCCCCTAGGGTTAGCCATTATTACACACGGTGGTCGAGAATGTCCTTTATTACACTGACCACCCTATTGTAATATATCTATGTAATTACAAATTTCCATAGATTTATAAACCTGAGTATCCTAGTTAAGCCAGTATCAAAATAACCCAGTAATAAATGCATGCTTGGACACTTGTTATATAACCTGGTGATACTTGATATCCCAATAAAAACCAATATCAAGTAGCTTCACATATATAAACAGTTGACCATCGCTATTGCGTCCTTCATGCAGATTGATTAACAGGTTTGAAACCTTTTGTTTCTATCTCTCCATGCAAAGATTAGGGTTTCAATATCCTCCATCAGTAGGGTTTCAATATCCTCCATCAGTAGGGTTTCTCTCTCTAAGGTTTTGGCCAATATGATTATCAGACAATAATAAACATAAACCCTAGGTCTCATCCATGCATAAACATAAACCCACATTAAAACCTTACATTTATGCATATAACAATTATTAAAACACATACGAACAACATGCTTCCATGATTAAATATGATCCATGAATAAGATTTTAATATGATCTACATGATTTACAACAAGTAATGGGTTGTCTCTGATATCAATTGTTGGAAAAACGGGTCTATATGCGGAAGCTTTAAAAAAAATTTCCATTAGTTGTAGTAAATCATGAACCAAGAGGAGCAAAAATTCTATACCTTTTAGCAATTCGTAGTGCTGCCAATAATGAGAGTTCTTTAATTAAAATTTTGAGCTCTCCTACCAAAACTCAAAACAGAAGCAGCAACTTTAAACCTCCAGTAGTGTAGGCAAACGTCCTCCAAAAATTCTGTTGTCGCCCCAGATGTTGGCTTCGCATCACTGCTGATTTCAGGTCAATCGGAGTTGTAATGAAGTATATATGGCTGTTTTACCGACTGCTTGTCTGTCCACCGTGAACCTTCGAACTTTCAATCTTGAAACGGCTTGGGTAAATTATTGTGGCTGTAAAACACTCACAAATCTTTTAACAAGCTATGGAAGAGTGGGCTCCAATTTCCAAAAGAGAACGTAGGAAACTCTTCAGAATTCTAGAGATAGAAAGTAGCAAAAGCTAGTATGTAAATTGCATGACTTGTGAGAACCTCAGAACATGTATTTATAGAGGCTTGGCCGCCCACCCTAGGAAAGCTCCTAGGGCTATTGAAGAGGTCTGCATGGTAGTCACAGGAGAGGTTCACGTGGCACAATCAAGGCTCCATGTGCCTTGAAGCGAGACAGTAGGGCCAAACCACATCTTCTATTCGAGAAAGGGGGGGAACTGCCCCTCTCGCAAATCTTCTGCTCCCTCATGGAGCCACCTGTGAAATATAGTGTCTGATGCTCTATCTTTGTTTACCCTGGAAACGGTTCAATTCACACATAACTGAATCTTGCATTTTCTTGCGTTATTTTAGGCATTCCTTTTATTAATGTCTCTGAGTTCTTTATTGGTGCAAGTGACTTTGTTTATGATTTTGCTGGTGCCTGATTGGCCACTTGATTTTTTATCCTTTTCTGCATTGCAGGTTGCTGTCAACACTGTAATTCAAGATGAGAAGGAATTTCTTGATCACATTATCAAATCAACCAACATGAAGTGCCTTACTGCTCCGTAAGTTACTTTTTTATGCCTGCTGTTAAAAAAAATTCTTTATAATTTTTTCATGACATACTAGCAGTGTTACCATGTATCAGAGAGGTGGTGCTTGCTTTTGTGATTGCCATGGCATTACTGTAGTTTCTTACATTTTTATTTTGCTTTCTTATAAAGTATCAGGGTTGCCATGGATCTTTTTATGGGGAAAATGTTTGTAAAATTTGTCTAAACATTTCCTTTGTTAAAGGTGACTGCAAGATAAATTGTAATGATTGTAAACTAATTTTAGTTAATAACTGATGTTTCTGTTATTTATGAATATATAAACTAGAGAGTGCAAAGCTAAAAATGATTATCAACTATAGACTTGCTGTGCAAAACGTTGCTTGATCATTAGCCAGTTTAAAACCTGGTTGAGCACCAGTTGAACTTGTTCCTCAGAAAGCCTGATTTGTGGTAGAGGAAAAAAGAATCCCATCTTGCAGGTTTCAAGAGAAGTGTTTGTATCTGAACAATTTTGGCTTTTGTAACTACCAAGGGCTTAGCCCAGAAGTAGTATGTTGTCCTCCTCCCACCTGGGAGGTTAAGTGTTCAAGTCGCTGTTGGGGGAATAGTGGGTGTGTGAGTCTGTCTTACCAAAAAAAAAATGAATTAGTGAGTCTTGCCTATCGAAAGGGGGAAAAAAAAAGGGCTTCTGTAGAAAGTAGTGGGAAACAGGACAATTACAGTATGCAAGTGTTTCTCTACTTATGCTGGGTGCAAATGTTGGGGGAATAGTGGGTGTGTGAGTCTTATCAAAAAGAAAAAAATATTGAGTTTTGCCTTACCTATCAAAGGGGGGAGGGAGGGAATAGGTTTTTGTGGAAAGTATTTGGAAACAAGACAATTATAGTATGCAAATTCTTCTCTACTTATGCTGGGTGCAATTGTTGAGAAAACTGGGCAGGCAACTGGATTCTGGGCAAAACTATAGGTTTGCGCGTCATGTGAGTGAGTAAAATAGTCACAGGATAATGTCGCGTGCTACTGCATAATCAGGAGAAAGAAAACACACACAAAAGAAAAAGAATAGTGACTCAATGGAGATGTCAACCAAATGTACGGACAGAAATCCAAGACCATTTAAAAAAATTCTTCCTTAAATTCTTCCCCTGTTGTACTCTTCTTACGATAGGATTAACTCTCATTTGGAATATGGGCTGGGGCAGTCTAGGTCAAGCTTTCTGATCATTCTTCTTATGAAGTATCATGTGCCATTTGATCAATGCCCTAGAAAAAGAATTCCATTGTGCACTTTATTTTCTGTAGCTAAACAGTTATTTACAATGCTGGGAAGCCATTATTTTTTTGCGTTCTGTCATACTTGGTTTTCTTTGCATTTCAGATCCGCGCTGGATGGCGAGTGTGGATTCCTGGCTGCTAATTTGTATGCGAAGAGTGTGTTTGGGGAGGATGCTTTGGTAAATCTGAGCATTGAGAAACAAGCAGATGCTAAGCTGAGTGGGTATATTAGGATAAGGAGCAAGACTCAAGGAATTGCTCTTAGTTTGGGCGACAAGATTACACTCAAGCAGAAGGGTGGCAGCTGAGATTGGTCATCATTTGCACATTAGATTTGTTGTCAGTCATCATTCTGGTACCTATTGATACTACCTTACTTTTAAATTGTTAGTATATAATGGCATTGATTATGCCTCTTACTCTCATTTTGTTATGCTGAAAGGAGAAGAGGAGACACTAAAAGACGGGAAAGAGAGAATTCATTCATTTTCCTCTCTCATACGAGCGAAGGAAAAGCCCAATGTATGTTTTAGAAGTTTTTGTTTTATTGTGGTAAAATGTTTTGCCTGAACTACATCCCTTCAGTTTGCACTGCTTCCCTACCAAACTGGTTGCAAGGTCATCCGTCGAGATGCATTTTTTATGAGAGCGAAAAAAGGACAAGACTTGTCATTGTTCCTTGGAACTATGAATTTGTAGGTTTTTGCAGATTATAGTCAGACTGTTATATGATGTTCCCTTCACACTTTTGGGAGAATTATGTGCAAATTGGAGGTTCACATGTAGCATTATCTTGATTTCTGGTTGTGCTATTCTAAAACAAAGAATTTATCATTGATTTTTTTTTTTTCGCAGAAAAGATTGCAAAAGAATAATGTTACTGTTGATTTTTGGCATGTTTAGAAGAACAGTAGTATTTGCTGAAATTGAACTCGTAACTTTTAGTGCTGACTGCTGACCCCCAAGTATTCCTAAATGGGTAAATCAATATTGATGATGCGTGCTGCTTGTCAATAGTAGTATTGTTATTGGCAGGAGGAAGAAGAAACAAGCTGTAGGGGTTGGACTTGGGAGGGCCTCTTGTCCAAATTTTTTTTTACTAGTAGGGTGACTAGGGTCCGAATCTATTTTGGATAGGATTTGTAAATTTTTCAACTCCCCCAAGCCAAGTCTGTAATTTTTGTGGCTAGGTTGAATGATTTTTTCTTTGGTGAAAGTTATTGGTAGTTATAAACTTGTTTGAAGTAGAATTATACTAATAAATAATAGTAAGTTTACTTTATTACTTACCCAAAATAATAATAATAATAATTTATTAACAAATTAATAAAGAGCACAAGTGCTTGTTTGGTTTGTAACTATTAGATATTTTTTTTTTTCTTCAGAAAATTGAAAATAGAAAACTAAACAAAAATTCTGCTTGGTTGAGTTTTACAAACCAAGTAACCCTCAAAGTTTTGAACCCTTTCTAAAACTGAATACGGAACATTATTGAATTTTACATAACCCTCTTCAACATCAGCAATAATTAGATCTTCTACTTTCTCTCTCTCTCACGATTGAAGAAGATGAATGTAGTGATGGCTATTATGTGAATACACAGTACTCCCATCTTTCTCTCTATTGGAGAAGATGAATGCACAGTACATTAATATTGCAGTGGGGATATTTGGTCTACTAGTGCATGATTTTTTTTCTTTCAATTTCATGACACTTTAAGGGTATTTTGGTTACTTCAACTAATTTTTTTGACAAAAAATGATTGATTTTTGTACAAGGGAGGTCTTTGCAAAAATGGGCAACCTTAAGGGATGCATTGCAAAAAAATGACAAATCTCAGGTTTGGTTGTAATTAGGCCATATATTACGTGGACGGACCATTCAGATTAGGTTGTAACGCGTATTCAAGACTTAAAGTTAAGAAGGCACAAAATTTGCAGTTTGGATTAAGTTGGAAATGGTTCTATTCCTCCCTTTCCACCGAAGACCATAAAATTGCATAGCCCTACATATCAAATCACCCACCAGTTGTCGAAGACAACCATGCATAGCCCAACAGATGCTTATTTCCTCAGCAAAGCAGTCCTTGTAGTGAAGAAGGCACAAAAGGATGAAACAAATAACAGTAATAGAACATGACCTTGTCATTTCAAGGATCCCTTGCAAAAAGCAAAAGAATATGGAAATGAAATCCTTATAATCAACTTCGAAAATGGTTGAATATATTTTTCGGTCTCAATAACAGAAATCTCGTTGTTTGATAACTCAATTCAGTGCTTACTCTTCAATTAAGCGCGTTTGATAACGCAATTTGAATATAACTGAAAACGGTAAACCACTGAAAATGGGACAAATTTTTAAGTGACAGAGACATTACTTATCATTGAATGCTTAAAAACTTCAGCACTTAAAATTCAACTTTTAAAATTTTCAGTTTTATCACATAACACCTTAATGTTGTTTGATAACTCAATTTAGCGCTTAGAGCCTGTTTGAATTGGCTTTTCAAACACTGCTTTTGACTTTTGGTACTTGAAAGCCGTTTATAATGGTGTTTGGCTAATCAAGCAGAAACAAAGGCTTTGCCAAACAGAGCCTTAATGTTGAACTAAGCGTAGTTTATCTAGTTCTGAGTGTATGATAACGCAATTTAAGTAAAATGATAAGCACCATGCGCAAACTGAAAAAATTAAAAAATTAAAAATCCCCCTCAAAATAAAACTTGACACCTGTGTGGATGCCCAATCTTAGCTGGACATATCCAATTGGAAGCTTGGTAACGAAGACCAGACAAGGCCGGCCCAGTCCAAGAGAGGAAAGCCGAACGCGTGGGGTCCAGGTCGTGATTCATAAGAGCATGTTCATCGGCCCAGAAGAAGTCCTTTCCAAACCAAAAAACTTAAAAAGGACTCCCTCTCTCTCTCCTAGGGTTTTAACCTAACCAACACTGCCCCCAAAAAAATTCCAAGTTTTTGTGGTCTGTTTGTTAATTTGTGACTGTTCCATTGCAAAAGCGTCTTCCCAACCATGACCAAAGCACAAGAAGAAATCAAAGAGCTTCAGCAACAAAATGATGTCCTCCGCCGAGAGAATGCTGAACTGCGGGCAAGGGTCGAACGAGCAGAACAGTCGAGAGAGCCAAAGAAGGGTACAGCAGCACAAAGAAGTTGGTGGAAGTCACCGTTCACCGATGAGATCTTGCGATTTGAGAGGCCAAAGAAGTTCGTAGTGCCCAACTTCAGGCCCTACGACGGGACCGGAGACCCGGTGGAGCACATCTATCACGTGCAGCAGAAGATGGTGTTCGATACGGAGAATGATAGCCTGATGTGCAGGGTATTCCCCACCACTCTAACAGGGCCACCCCTCCATTGGTTCATGGGCCGGCCACAGGGATCGATATCAAGTTTTCAGCAGCTATGTGAATTGTTTCTCGGTCAGTACTTTTGCGTCTTTTTCAATTATCCGGCCGGTAAACGCTTTCTCACGGAGAATTATCCTCAGGAGCCGCTTTCAAAAAAACAAAAGACCTATCAGAATTTCGGAGGAGGTTGAAGTCGATCTTCAACTCTGAAAAAAGGGAAAAGAATATTTAACCTTTCTTGACAATTCCACGTGAAGCAATTACTAGGGCAAATCTAAGCATTCATTTATCATTGCTATGCATGCATGTCAGGAACGAAACAGAATTGCTTCTGAAGATGAGCAATAAAGAATTTGTCTTTTATCTTACTGCTCCTCATTGTGATTGTGAACAGTACATTCAGAATAATACAAATAAAATTATACACAAATGCTATTTGATTCCAATAAATTACTTAATTTTCAAGAAATCATGATTTATTGAATTTCTTCGATCTCAATAATAAAATTAGACAGCTAAATGTCACGCTCCGCCCCCGTGACATAAAGCTCAAATGGTAACATGGAGTTACAAGCCCTCATAAGCCGGTAACAACCCCTTATTAGATAGTCTCATATATCAAATCCGAATGGGTGGGTATGTAGCACTATCCAAATTGGAATTGCCGAAAGTAAAAGCAGAACCATCATGGAGTTGGCTCGAAGTATGTTGACAACAAATGAGATGCCAAAGATTTTTTTGGGGTAAAGTAGTATCATGTGGTATATTTACTAAATCGAGTTACAACAAAAGCTGTTCAAGGAATGACTCCTTATGAAGCTTGGAGAGGTTTAGAGGTTTAAAGCCAAGTGTTAATCATCTAAGAATTTTTTGCAGTATTGCTTACTCCTATATTCCAGACGAGAAGAGAGGTAATATAGGCTGTACAATCTTACCTCAAAGAAGATAATAACCAGCCGAGATGTGATGTTATACGAAAAAGAAGTATGGAAATGGAAAAATACCATTCAAAAAAAGAATTCAATTGTTGTGGATATGGAAAGTAGAGAAGAAGATCAAGATGTTCAGCATGTTGAAAACACACTAGATTCTCCAAGCTCGAGTTCATCATCATCAAGTGGTGAAGAATCGCCTCCTCCAAAAACAAGAAGCATCCAACAAATTTATGAAGTAACAAGAAGAATTGATGGAGATGACTTGATAAATTTTGCGATGTTTGCTGATGCAATAAATTTTGAAAAAGCTACAAAAGATAAGAAATGGAAAAAAGCTATATGGACCAAGAAATTGATGCAATCAAATGGGAAAAGATATGAGAATTGACCGAGCTTCCAAAAGCCAAGAAACCACTTGGTGTGAAGTGGGTTTACAAAACAAAGCTAAATGAGAAGGGAGAAGTGAACAAGTATAAGGCAAGACTTGTTGTAAAAGGTTACAAACAAAATTATGGCATCGATTATAAAGAAATTTTTGGTCCGCTGACTTGATTGGAGATAATTCAATTAATTCTTGCAATGACAACTCAAAAAGGATGGAAAATACATCAAATGGATGTAAAATCAGCATTTTTAAATGATTACATTAAAGAAGAAGTTTATATTGAGCAACCACCAGTTTATGTGAAGAAAGGTGAAGAAGGTAAGGTATGTCATTTGAAGAAGGCCTTATATGGTTTAAAACAAGCTCCAAGGGCTTGGTACAGTCGTATTGATAGTTTTTTCATAAAGAACAGGATATATCCTTATGAACACGCTCTTTACACCAAGGAAGACAAAAGTGGAAATATTTTAATAATTTGCTTATATGTTGATGACTTAATTTTCACTAGCGTGTGATGAGTTCAAGATGCCAATGATGAATGAGTTCGAGATGACAGATATGAGTCTTCTTCATTATTTCCTTGGAATCGAAGTTAAGCAAGACAGTGATAAGATCATAATTTTACAAACGAAATATGCAAAAGATTTACTTGCAAAGTTCAAAATAGAGGAAGCCTCACCAAGTAAAACAGCTATGGAAGTAGGTTTGAAGTTAAACAAAAATGATGAGAGTGAAGAATTTGATGTTACTGTCTATAGAGGTCTTGTGGGAGGTTTTATGGGAAGTTTTATGTACTTAACCGTAACAAGACCAAATTTAATGTTTTCAGTTAGCAAGCTAAGCAAGTTCATGGCAGCACCAAAGCAAAGTCATTGGGATGCTGGAAAGAGAATTCTGAGATATGTTCGATGTACAATTGATCATGGAATTCATTACAAGAGGGGTCAAAATTCAACTCTGATTGGATATAGTGATAGTGATTGGGGAGGTAGTGAAGATGATCACAAAAGTACTTTTGGTTATGTCTTTAACATTAGTTCAAATGCAGTATCTTAGGCATCGAAGAAGTAACATGTAGTAGCACTTTCAACTACAGAAACTGAATATATTTCTCTGTCTACAGCTGGTTGCCAAGCACTGTGGTTGAAATGGGTATTAGAAGATTTGACTTATTTTTAGGTGAAAGATACTGTTCTGTTTTGTGATAATAATTTAGCAATTGCACTTAGCAAGAATCCAGTTTTTCATGGCGGAAGCAAGCATATTAGAATCAAGTATCACTTCCTTAGAGATTTGGTTAAAGATGGAGAAATTGTCATCAAACATTGCAAAACCCAAGATCAGATTATAGATATTTTTACAAAAGCATTGAAGTTAAATTTTTTTTTTATCAAATTGAAGGAGAAACTTGGAGTTGCACAAGTCTAGCTTAAGGGGGGATGTTGGAAGATTAATCTAGACTTGTTTAGATTCATCTAAGAAGACCAAGTGATATTTGGGAAGGTAGAAAGTCATCTGATAGATGAAGAATCTCATAATAATTGCTAGTATATGAAACATTTTGGTTCATTGAATGTATTAAATTCATTGTAGGTGAGTCATGTAAGTGTATGGAAGACATAGACAATTGAGCAATACAAGATATAAGAATTCAGTTATATAGAAGTGAGTGTTTCTGAATTGTACGTTTACTAATTTAGTTGAATATATGTGAGTATATCCCATTTGTGTTCACTTGCCCACCAACTCCAACAAGCACTATTAAACTTAGGATGTGAAAATATAAGATGTAAAATATATAGAAAGATGAAAAACACAACATATATATGGTTCGGCACTAAGGTCTACATCCATGGATCAAGAGCCACTGAGGCTACATTTCTCTTATTGCTTGTATTTCTTGATATGTTTACAATGTATTGACACACAATATATAGGAAATAAAGTTGCAGACAAAATGAATAAATCAAAGAGGAAAGAAGGGAAACAAAAAGAATAAATCAAGAAGGAAAGAAAGGAAACAAATATAATATATATGTATAATATATATATAATATTATATATATATTATACATATATATAATATATATTTTAACATTCTCCCACAAACTCAAGATGGGTTTCTTGAAGCCAACTTGAGTTTGGAGATGAAATATTGAAAACGGTGGTGGAGCGAAAAACATCTGAAAGGTCGAAACAACGCTGGGAAATGAGTCGGAACAAAGTCGATAAATGGGCCGGAGCAACACTGGGAGACATCTGGGTGATCCATTTGAGAAATGAAAAAGATCCGAAATAAAGCCGGTAAAAGGCCGAAAAATGCCGAAACAAAGTCGGGAAATGGGTCGGAATAAAGCCGATAAAATGGGTTGGAACAAAGCCGATAAAATGGTTTTTTTTTTTTTTTTTTTTTTTTTTTTTTTTTTTTCTTTCTTACCATTAGACAACCATCACACCTTTTATTATTATTATTTTTTTCCAACAAACAAACTTAGTAAAATAAGGCAAACACTGTCACAAAATTTTTCAGGTGGTGGAAACCAACCGAGGAAGGAGAAAATAGTCACTGTGGTGGAAGAATGAAGAATGAGGTCGTAAGCATGAGAGAGGTGTCACCGACGTTGACTATAAGTAAAGCAAAGGAAGCCTCTACAACCAAAGGCGAATTCGGAGATGACGCCGGATATTTGCTAAACTGAACGGCAGCGAAGCGCGTAAAAACGTGGAGAGTGGCAACCAAGGACTCGGCTGGTGATAACATAACTCACAACGACTAAAACATAAACAACCTCTTTTTAACCAGGAATTGGAACGATGGTGAGTTGGTCACCGCTTCGGAGGGTTGACTACTGTCGATGAAAGAGGAGCGCGTGGGCATGTGTAGCGCAAGTAAATCTATTCGCAGAAGCGTACGACGCATGTAGCACGAATCAAATCCGTGGGAAGTGATGCGCGAGTCAGATCTACTTCACAGGAGCATTTCCGCGTGACGGTGCGGGATGTCGCTTGGAAACAAAGAGAGATCTGAATCAGAAATGGATCAGATTAGATTGGTCTTCTTCTTCACTACTTTCTGCAATCAGTAAAAGAAAGGGAAATAAAAATGGCAGAGCTTCAAATAGAGCCATAGAAAAGACAACGTAAAAATTGGTGCAAACAATCTAGGATCGTTGCTCTGATACCATGTTAAATTTAGGATGCGAAAATATAAGATGTAAAATAGAAAGATGGAGAATACAACATATACATGGTTCGGCACTAAGGCCTACATCCATCGATCAAGAGCCACTGAGGCTACATTTCTCTTATTGCTTGTATTTCTTGATATGTTTACATTGTATTGATACACAATATATAGGAAATAAAGTTGCAGACAAAATGAATAAATCAAGGAGGAAAGAAGGGAAACAAAAAGAATAAATCAAGAAGGAAAGAAAGGAAACAAATATAATATATATGTATAATATATTATATATATATTATACATATATAAAACATCAGGATACCCTATGCTCCCTGGATGTTTTATAATAGGTTCTGTAAATTAGTCCTAAGGGTTGAGATCCAGGGAGTATAGGGTATCCTGATGTTTAATATATTATATATTAAGAATATATAATATATATATATGTATGATATATTATATATATATTATACATATATATGATATATATATTAATATTCTCCTGCAAACTCAAGATGGGTTTCTCGAAGCCAACTTGAGTTTGGAGAAGAAATCTTGAAAACGGTGGTGGAGTGAAAAACATTCGAAAGGTCGGAACAACGCCGAAAAATAGCCAAAACAACGCCGAGAAATGGGTCGGAATAAAGCTGATAAATTGGCCAGAGCAACACTGGGAAACATCCGGGTGATTCATCTGAGAAATGAAAAAGATCTGGAATAAAGCCGGAAAATGCCGAAACAAAGCCGAAAAATGGGTCGGAACAAAGCCGAGAAAATGGGTCGGAACGAAGTCGATAAAATGGGCGTTTTTTTTTCTTCTTCTTACCATCAGACAACAATCACACTTTTTTTTAAAACAAACGAACCTAGTAAAATAAGGCAAACACTGCCCCAAAATTTTTCAGGTGGTGGAAACCAACCAAGGAAGGAGAAAATAGTCGCTGTGGTGGAAGAATGAATAATGAGGTCACTAGCATGAGAGATGTGTCATCGACGTCGACTGTAAGTAAAGCAAAGGAAGCCTCTGCAACCAAAGGCGAATTCGGAGATGACGCCGAATATTTGCCAAACTGAACTATGGCGAAGTGCGTAAAAATGTGGAGAGTGGCAGTGAAGGACTCGGCCGGTGATAACACACCTCACAACGGTTAGAACATAAACAACTTCTCTCAAACCAGGAACTGAAACGATGGTGAGTCGATCACCGTTTCGGAGGGTTGACTACTGTCGATGAAGGAGGAAAGCGTGGGCGTGTGTAGATCAAGTGAGATTTACTTGCAGGGGCATGCGGCGCGTGTAGTGCCAATCAAATCTGTAGGCAGTGATGCGTGAGTCAGATCTACTTCCCAGGAGAGTTGACGGGTGACGGTGTAGGACGTCGCTTGGAAGCAAAGAGAGATTTAAACTAGAAACGGATAAGATTTTACTGGTCTTCTCCTTCACTGCTCTCCTCAATCAGTGAAGGAAAGGGAAATAAAAATGGCAGAGCTCCAAATAGAGCCACAGAGAAGACAACATAAAAATTGGTGCAAACGATTTAGGATCGTTGCTCTTATATCATGTTAAATTTAGGATGCGAAAATATAATATGTAAAATAGAAAGATAAAGAACACAACATATACATAGTTCGGCAGTAAATCAAGATGGAAATAAAGGAAAACGAATATAATATATATGTATAATATATATAATATGTATTTTAATAAACTAACAAACCCAAATTTGACAAATCCAACTCAAACATCATGTCACCGGTGGTATCACACCAACAAATACAAATACGCATATAGTGAGAGAATGTTGAGAGAAGGAGATTGAGAATTGGAGTTACGGTGAAACCCATGAGTTGAGTTGTGCCAATAGAGAGAAAAACAGTTTGAAATCTAGATCGCCTTCTTCCCCGTCACCGTCCTCCTTCTCAAACTGATTCACTTCGTCGACTTTCTCATCTTTGCCAGCAACTTCGTGGAATTCCTCATTCTATCCATAGTTGGTCGCCAAGTGTACAACACAAGAACTAAGTCGGTGAAAGGTATACAAGGGTCTCTAGATTTTGACTTGTTGAAATCATATAAAAAAAATGGAATAGAAGAACTGAAACAGGATTTGAAAATTAAAGTTGCAAAAATCAGAGAGAATTATATATGTATTGAAACTATTCGTCTCATCCTTTCAAAATAAATCCATCATCCCATGTTCACTCTCTCTGCATATATATATGGAAAATGATATTTTTGACGATAATTTTTAACCCGACTTATAACCGACCTACGTGGAAAACTTATGTGGCCAGACGCCTATTCTCCCATCCTCTTTCTCATTGTCCTCTCCCATCTCTAATTTTATCACAAAATTTGCCCTAACCTGGGTCACAAACCCCCTTTATCTTCCTCGTCATTCTCTCCATTTTTCTTCTTCATTCATTTTTTCCCACTCTATTCCCAAGTTTATCGCAGAATTTTGGAGTTCTCTTCCCTTCGAGACCCTGGCATCATTCTCAAGTTCCTCCAATTCGTCGCCGGGTCACCGTCAATCCTGACCTCTAAGGTACACTATTGTTCATTATCTTCCTCTCACCTCTAATCTAAATCTTCCAGAAAACTGAATCAATTAATATATGTGTTTGTATATGTGCGTGTGACCTTTTCCATCACGTTGTGTGAAGGATTTGTTGTGGATGTATTGGTTTATTTGGTTTCTGAGAAATGGAGTGAGAAATGGAGGGAGGAACAGTAAAGAAAAAATTAGGGATGGGAAAAAAGATCACATGCACACATACAAACACATATATTGAATTCCTGCCTCTGTAGAGATTTGTTGTGGATTGATTGGTTTGTTTGGTTTCTGAGAGATGGAGGGAGGAAAAGTAAAGAAAAAATTAGGGATGGGGAAAAAGATCACACGCACACATACAAACACATATATTGAATTCCTGCCTTGTAGAGATTTGTTGTGGATGTATTGGTTTGTTTGGTTTCTAAGAGATGGAGGGAGAAAAAGTAAAGAAAAAATTAGGGATGGGAAAAAAGATCACACGCACACATACAAATACATATATTGTGCCTCTGTAGAGATTTGTTGTGGATGTATTGGTTTGTTTGGTTTCTGAGAGATGGAGGGAGGAAAAGTAAAGAAAAAATTAGGGATGGGGAAAAAGATCACACGCACACATACAAACACATATATTGAATTCCTGCCTCTGTAGAGAGATTTTGCAGAATCTGAAGGGGAGCTCCCCCTATTACGAAATTCAATTCCTGAATTCAGATCACAACATCTTCAATTTCTCATTTTCTTGCATTTCAATACTTGTTCAACACTATATATGTTTCTTTTGGACTTGTAATTTATTGACTCTCTTACCTATTCATTGTTGGTAAATAGTGTTTTTATATTTTCTTAAGCTAATCACAAGAAAAGAGTGAATAATATTTTTTAAAATGAAAATTATTAGTATTGTATCAATATATTTAATGTGAGATGCCTGAATTTAGCGATTTCGCTTTAGGCATTAAAGTGCATTAAGCCTGCTCTGGCCAGAAGGTTTTTGTGTTAAAGCTTGCTGCTATAATAATAGTACTTTTCAGAATTTCAAAATTGTTTGTGTGTGGTCTTAGACTGTAAACGGGCTTAATGTTTTGTTGCTTTGATATGTAACAGTGTGGTATCAGTTCTCTTTCAACATTCATTAAAAGAGCCAGAGGATCAAAGAGTGCAACATTGGATCATATAGACCAATGAAAATAATTAGCCATTCAACTGATGTTGACAGTGCACTAGCTTTTAGAGTTTTGGAAGGATGTTGTCTGCTCCACAGAGAGAGCACCATTTTTGGCCCATATTTACAAGGCGATTCAGGTTTGTTTTTCTACCTCATATGAGCTCTCGTTTGTGACTATTTGAATTATGTAATATTTTTTCGGAACCTATAAACTAACGAGAATTATTTACAAAGAATGATGAAAATATATTGGATTTTAGTACAAGTTGAAACTGAAAGTGGAAAATATTTATTCCAAAAACTTGACATTCGAATGAATAATGTTGATGATCCCCATAAATTGTATGTAATGGAATCCTATAAAATTGATGTAAGCCTTGACAATTCCCACCCTTTATTCAGCCATGTAAAATTATCAATGATCTTCTTTCAATAGAAATCACATTGATGCAAAAAAATTTAATCTTCACATTAATCAGTGCAATAAGATTTTTCTTTTTTTTTAATGCATTTCTTAACTCCAAGCAAGAAGAATTTTTTATTTGTATAGGGGGACATGCAATGCTATGACAGTGTTTTATAACACCAGTAACACTTATGAAATCATTCGGTTAATATCACAGAACTTCTAATATGACATTTAACAATATTTGTTGGCCATTGAGGGGTTTTATATATATATATATATATATATACACTTCAATGACTGAAAAAATGGAGATGGAGTCAAAGTGTCTCCTTTTCTTAACTTTATATTATTTATTTGTATGCAATTATTTAATTCTTGAGATCATATTTTTATTTGTCAAATCATTTTTCTGTAACAAGCAGGTTGTTACTAGTATGAATTCAAAGTTTTGTTCACTTTCTGATTTTTTAACTTTTGAGATCACATTCTTATTTTCCTATTTCTTTGATACTTTTTAGTTAAGTTGCAGTTTAATACTCGACATTATCAAGTGCTAAACTTGGTTGCTTATTAAGCCATTTCATTACGTGGTTTAATTGTTTGTTGGGATTTTTTTTTTATTCTGCTGCTTGAATCTATTAAATATTGTTTGTAGGAATGGCATATTTGTGTTAGTTACGGAGCTATGGCTGGGTACTTGGTTTCAATGGCATCTTTTGGATTTGTAGTCTTGTAAGGTGGGAGGATCGTGTTAATGAAGACTAATCAGCAAGGAGAAGTCATCAAATTGGAGGAATTGTGAACTCTACACTAATTGTTGGCCTATAGGAGCATGAATTTGGCCATGTTTAGCTTCAATTTTTTTTTCCATGTCCTTGTTTTAAAGCTGTAAATTTTACTTAGATTGGTTTTATGTGACAAAACGTTTATGGTGAATGGAAAGATTCATTGGATATATATATTTGAACCAAAAGAGCTTAGACATTGGTCTATAGCACATTCCACTTCTAATATGTAATACAAACTAGTACAAGCCATTGTATTATTCACAATTTTTTTCCTAAGTAAGATGTCATTGAACCTAAATATACCGTCTCTAGGACCTAAAAATGATCAAAAATAATAAAAGTTAACACAAATACAATTAGCCGGCCTAGCAATACAAATTGGACAAAACCAGCACAGTCACTACCAACATTCTGTTGACAAAGATCAGAACACAGAAAAAAAAAAAAGAAAAAAGAAAAGAAAAGAAAAGAGACTATCATCATCAACAAATGGCAATCAGGCATGGAATGTATGAATATGAGTTGAGTCCCACCAATATCATCGGTTCCTAGAATTCTTTCATCAATAAGTGCACTCAGGCATTCAAAAAATAGATGATCAACACCTTAAGTAAATATTCAAAAAACAGGTGATCAACACCTTAAGTAAATAAAAAATTGGTATCATTTAAACACCATCCAGAAATAGTACATGGAAAACAAGGGCATTCCCTTGAGCAAACAAATGAAAAGCAGAACGTCACCCGAACGTAAACACCTAAGGCTTCCACACTACAAGAGTCAACAACTGTAACATATCAAAAGGCAACATAGTAAGTGTGATACCCCCGGATTTCCGGATGCGGGTTGGCCAGGCCCATGCCCGATAACCCGAGGATATCAAATCAATTAGCAATTTAACGAACACAGAATACAATATAGGAAACAGGAATAAATAAAATTTTGCTGAAAAGAACTAAAATGAAAATCCTTTAATGGAAAAAAAACCCCCGAATAAACTTTATATGCAAGAACTAGTTTGAATACACCAACTTCTCCTTTACTTCTAATACAACTCGGGAATCCATCTCGTGGACCCCTACTAAAAATATTCCAATACTGAACATGAACAACTGCAAAGAAAACCAACGATCATAATGAGAAGAAAACACTCCTACGTCGTCGGTGGAGTGAATAACTGTATCTGCTCAGCACGATCAAGCTCTAAGCCTGGAACTGACGAACATCTGTAAAAATAAGAGTGGGTCAGGCCCACATGCAAGTTCTACCCTAATTGCAATCCAGATAGTGACCCGATACGCAGATACACCATAGATATCTCAGCAATAGCTATCTAGTCCATACATATATAAATATCCACACTAAGGGACATTCACTGGACTATGTAGGGGGTCTCAACCTGAATAGAAAGCAACATGCAAAAACGCACCCAAAGGTGGGCATGAGTACCTAGACCTAACAGGGTACACCTCAACCTACTATAACCGGCTACGCATCCACTGCATATACACACCCTAACCAACGAGTCTGAGACTCAAGCTCAACTTGTGGTACCATAAACATATATATAAAGTCCGTCCAAATCCAGGGTATGCAGTTCAACTATTTATTAAACTGACACACAATAAACCAACTAGTTAGTCACTCAATTTACTCAGTTGATATGACTTAACTACCATCCGTTAATCCAGGAAGTCATCCAACTTGGTTATAGCTGATCTGACTTAGTCACAATTAGGATTCGATATCGTTCAATCCATTCCATTAATCCATTAGGTTAGGTTTATGCATTTTGAGCTAAACCGTCCCTAGTATGTCACCGTCCCATACCAGTACATACAATCCTCCATATCCATATAAATTACAACATATATAACAGTTCAATAATTTACAGACCCAAAAACCACCATCCAAATAATTGCAGAAAAATATTTAAAGCTTCAGCAATTTAAATCCAAGCATTTAACCATATAGTTGCAGGAGACGATTTAATAAATCAACAACTAACATCCAGAGCATGCATAGACCAAATTTAATATGTCAGGGACTCCATCATGCATGTGAATAGGTTAAATAATCCTATTATTATCCAATAAATTGCTAAAACAATTTCAGAAGATTGTTTAATATTTCAGCAAATTTAAATCCAAGCATTAACCATATAGTTGCAGGAAACGATTTAATAATTCAGCAACTAGCCTCCTAAGCATGCATAGATCAAAATTAATAATTAAATGACCTTATCATGCACTTGAATGCATTCTAAAACAAGTTTTATAAACACATTATATTCCATCAAATTGTTGAAATTTAATTCAACAATTAATTTATCTTCCATTTGTTAACAACCTAGGGAGTGTCTTAATTTTTACACTGTTTGTCCCGACAATTTAGAATTAAACCCTAATCAATTTAGGGTCCTAATAACACCCAAATTCAGCCTTCTAAACTCTTTGTGGAACCCCAGACCCAACAGATTTAAAACCCATGCTCCAATAGTAAGCATAGTACGTAGAAAATAAAAATAAAAATTAAAACAAATCGTAAAATAAAAAGGGAGCCTGCTCCAAATTTTGGAGCAGACTCTTTTTTCAGCCTAGAGCCGACTCTAGGACTCCTTAGAGCAGGCTCTACTTGTTGTGGGAGCCGGCTCCCATTTCTATGGAGCCGGCTCTCACCTCCTTTGAGAGCCTTCAGTCCCCGGTGCTTCGTTTCAGTCTGTTTGCTCTGTCTCTGGACCATTCCTACCACTTTGTTGATTTCTAAAACTCATCTTAAAAGTCTTATAACACCCTAGTAACATTCCCATGATTCGTTTACAGAAGTTGAAATCAAATTAAAACTAAATTTGTTACCGAAACGAAACATGCTTTAGGAACAAAACTGAAACTATTTTGCAATATCAATTCCATTCCAATCCCCTCTGTTCCTCTTCACTACTGAACTTAGGAGTCTTATCTAATCCCAGTAGCATCCCAATTATTTGTTTACAGTTGTTGAAAAAAAATACAGTAACTAAAATTCCAATAGAATTTACATGCTTTAAGAAAACAAAACTAAACAGACTTGCACGAATTGTAACGGATTTAATTTCAACAACGAACAGCCATCAATATAGCATATATTAACCATGTAAATTCCAGTTCCTGATTAATTAAACCCTAGAGACTATCTAGGTGCACAGAACACAAGCCAAAGGGAAGGAGGAAAGAAAGAACTTGCCTTTCGGTTTCGGTTTGAAACCTTTCAACGTCGTCTTCTTCCTAGACTTTTCGGCGATCGTGATTGCCGTCAAGGATTCCTCTACTCCGGTTCTAACCCTCAAACAACCCTCAAGCTTCCTCCTTAGTCTGGCTTACAATCTTTGGCTCAAACCCTACCTTCCTCTCCTTCAGTTTTTTCCCTTAAACTCTCTGTTTCACTCTCTGTATTTTCACTATTCGTGGATAAGGTTTGTGCTTACAACCCTAAGCAGACCCTTATTATTTTATTTATAGGCTTAGGAAAAGATATTAACCCTAATTCTACTTTAATCGTAGAGACGGAAATCAACAATTCCTTACATCTCTAAGGCGGCTTAATTAAACAAGGCGGCTTTATTCAAACGTGACAGTAAAGAGACAAAACCCTAATAATTTAACCTATTTAATTAAATAAAATAAAAAACACAATTAACCAATTAATTAAAACCACAATTAAATTACATAAAATAATTAACCAACAAAAAAATTCAAAAACAACCTAAATGACACTTAAATTAATTAAAGACTAAACAATTAAATCAAATAAAGAACGAACAAATAATTTAATCAATTAAACCTAAACACATAAAACACTTAAAATAAATAGTAAAATCTCAATTATATCCTTTTTAATTTTAGGGGTATTACAGTAAGAGTCACCCGAAGCAACCCAGAACTGTTGGCAACAATAGAATCTAGAACACCAACAACCCGAGTGGTAGATTACAACAAAAGAATCATCTACTTCTCCGGTCCCAATGTATCAACGCTGTTGTGTCCGTATCCATCCCAAAAAGAACCTGCAAACAAAATAAAATAAATAACTTCGTATACGTTCAATATTTTGATCAATTGCGTACTTTGTCTTAATTAGATCCAATACCTTCATTAATAATCTTAGGTTCAAGATTTTTTTCACTAGGAAAAGAACCATTCATTGAATTGTTGGAACCAACTCTTTCATTGTTCTGCTACATTACATTCAATTAGCATTGAATAAATTTTTCTAAAATATGGCATAAATATACAAAAAAAAAAAAAAAAAAAAATTACAATCAAAATGAATATCAACCTATAGAAGATGGCTGAAGTAATCATATTGCCCGGAGGGGTTGCTCATTGACATGTAGTGTTGTGGGTACACCTATCATCATTATAAAAGAATCACAAAAGTAAGAAATAATGTCTTGTAATGCCATACATCAAATTCCCAAAGTCTTGAACAACGAGTAATACTGTTTTTGACTGTTGATGAGGCAAAATCAAGCTATAATTTGAATCAGGAATACTTCAAAGCGACACATCGTATCCAACATTTTGGTTATGACATATATGTCCGACACTTTTGGTTGAACACACACTTAAAACCCAGGTCCAATAATTTAATTTTATTATATTATTGCTTTAAAATGAATATAAGATGCTCTGGGAAGAATGCCTTCCAAAGGCTTTTTATCCCACTAAGCTGTGGAGAAAGAGAATACATGAATTGAATGTGGCAAGCATGGTGGTGATGGGCCTGATTGTATATCACATAAGTAGAAAAAGCAAGCAGTCAATTTATTGAGTGTAGCAATGCACTAACTGAAGATGAAAGGAAGGAACTTGAGTTGGCAATTGAAATTGAACTTATCAAAAAAAAAAAAAATTACTTTTTAAATTACCTGGAGTGACTTATTTCCAAAATTGCAATAATTTATAGCTGTCCCAGAATATATGCCATTCCAAAGATGAGTTGGAGCAATCTAATTAACCACGAAAAAAAATATTTCACATATGAATCAATATAATTATGAAGTTTACACTATGGTAAGTTAAATAAATATACAAATAATATAATGATTATAACACACACTCTAGTTCACCATGTGACTTTCTTGGATTGAAATTTTGTCAACATTATGTGAAGTAGTCGAACCAACATCATTCATAACTGTTAAAGAGCTTTGACATACCTATAGATGCAATACTTTTAGTAACAATAATTAACATATGACAATTGAAGCAATAATAAGATATGCCTATGTACCTTTTTTCTTTTTCTAACTCGCGAGTCAGCATTTTCACCAAGTGACTCCATTTGTGTTGTTTGAGAGACCTATTAAAATGCATTTTAACAAAAATGATACAAATAAAGAATATAATATAATTAAATATAAAAAACTAATGCAAGAAATTAAAGTTTTTCAATACCTTTTTCCCTTTTTTTTTAATTGTTTTGCCAACTTTACTTTCTTTTTGTTTTGAAGGAGGACGACCTTTAGCTCGTGCCTTTAATGGAGTAAGTAACCTACTGTGAACATTCAGAACTCCATGTAGCTTATCATTACATTCAACAGTAGGTATCGATGAAACTTGATTAATTTGTCCACTCCCACAATTTGAGTCCATGGCAAGAAAATTTTCCTTTATCTCTTTCAATAATTCAATTAGAAGCTCAAATTTATCATCAGAGTATGCTCCAAGCTCTTGAAGCTCATAAAAAAGTGGATTTAGCTTATTGCTCCGATGCCTTTGCTCACTGTTGCTAACATTATTATAAGTATTTTTCACAAAAGTGTACCCACGCTTAATGTCCTTTCGCCAATGTTCTAAAATAAAATGAGATGGAACCTTATTCACCTTTTCTTTTATCAACACGAAAATTGCATGCTTGCACAAAATCCCTCGAAATTCAAACAAGTGGCATAAGCATGTCACTTTACATTCAGTTTGGATGTAAATAACCTCAAAATCCACTTCCTTCCAACATATTCCATCTTCTCCTATAAAACTTTCAGTGACTATAAATGTAGAAATTAACCCCTCTTAATTTTGGAGACATTACAATACATTAAATCCCTCAACTCATTCTGAAACAACTTAAACATATCATGGGTGTAAACTTCTCGGAGTTGTTCTTCAATATGTAACTTAGTTATTATTGGAATGGAGGAATTAAAAGAAACAAAATCTGCCTTAATTTCTTTCTCAACCTTACTTTTCAAGGCATTGTCATATTGTTCAACAAATTGCTTCAACGTGGTTTTGAGTGAACATACCCATCAAAAAAAGCATTCATACTTTCACTTCGTTGGGTAGTTGACATTCCAGCCCACAAAGTAGTTTTCAAAAATACTGGAACCCAACGATGACGATCACCATATAATGACTTCAACCATTCATTATTCTCGAGGCCATATTCATCAATCATTCCCATCCAACTTCTTTCAAACTCATCAGTCTTAATCGATTCGTACACAATGCTTTTCATGGTCTTCTTAATTGCTTTAAATTAAGAAAGTCCGCTAAGTTTCACAGGAACCTTTTGCATGATATGCCAAAAGCATAAACGGTGATAAGAATCTAGAAACACCTGTGCAACCACTGCTTGAATAGCCTTACATTGATCTGTAATAATAGTTTTGGAGGACATTCATGCATGCATGTTAACCATGTCTCAAATAACCATATATAACTATCACTATCTTCCTTAGATAAGAAACCACAACCGAACAACATAGATTGTCCATGATGATTCAACCCAACAAACGGGGCAAACGACATGTCATACCTATTTGTGAGGTAAGTAGTGTCAAATGAAATAACATCTCCAAATGACTCATATGCAACACGACACCTTGCATCAGCCCAAAACATATTTCTTAAACGCCCTTTATCATCCATGTCAATCATGTAAAAGAAATTTGAATTCCTTTTTTGCATGCAAAAAAAATAGTTACGAAGGGATTTGGCATCTCCAATTCCAAGTCGAAGTTGTCTTGCTTTTACAGTGTAATTCCTACACTCCTTTTCACCAAATGGCAAATTTTCATACCCACCGGCCTCAACAACAGCTAAATGAAAATTCTTATTCAACTTTATACCCGTTAAGTCATTTAATTCCAATCTTCTTTTGACATGAGGATCTAATGCCTTGTTACACCTAAAGTGTCGTACCTTTGTTGGACTTAATGCATGATTATGGTCGAGGTAAACACGAGCAATAATGAATCTTCCATCATCTTTAGCTGTAACGTTGATTTTAGCCTTGCAATTAGTCTTAATTAATGGCCTTGGGTGAAAAATGTCTTTTGCAATTGATTTTTGCTTTCCATACCGAGCGCATGCAACTGAAAAGTACCTTGATTTTCTGTCACTTCCATTATTTGCACTGACTTTTATTGCACCAAAACCTTGACTTCTAGCATAGTTGTTATAATAACTACGAACTTGTTCTTCAGAACAAAAAACCATTCCAACCACAGGTTTTTCAACTTCATCCCCAGGTAACACTCCTTTCAACTCTTGTTCGTTTGCTTTATCATCATTAGAACCTTCTTCTATTTCTAATAATATAAATACATGCATGTTAAGTACTTGATTATACAAATAAAAAGAATAAAATAAAATATTGCTCCAGATATCAACTAGTGTCGAATTTCTGGGTTTCAAAAAGTATTAGTGCATGTCTTCAAAAGTAAACTTTCCCCCCCCCCCCCCCCCCCCTTTTTGGATTATCATGCTCATATTGATAAATAAAAAAATAAATAAATCAACAAACATGTTATAAAATCAATTTCACTGCTTTTATATCTCTTAAAAAAAATCAGAATAAAAGGAAAATACAGAAAGCAAACCCATCTATCAATTTTATTGCTCATATATTTCTTAAAAAAATAGAACAATAAGAAGAGAAAGGAAATATAGAGAGCAAACTTATCTTTCAATTTTATTGCTCAAATATCTCTTAAAAAAATCAAAAGAGAAAGGAAATACAGAGAAAAAACCCATCTTGTTTCAATATGAAAAAATATATATATGAAGAAGAACGATCCATACAAAAAAAGAAAAAAGAAAAAAAAAACATATTATGTAAACTAGAATCCATAGTTGTTTCATCAATCACTTCCATCCAAACTTTCCTTTTGGTCTGTTGCGTGAGGCTCAGCAAGACAACTCAAAAAGGAAACTGTGATTAGTAAGCTTGAGGCAAGCAAGACACGATGACCACATATAAGAACGAAGAGAGAAAACAAAGGAGATGATGAATAGGCAAGAAACGAATAAGAAGGAAGTATTATTTTGGTAGAATACGAAAAGGTTGCAGCTTCTTTTTTTTTTTTTTTTTTTTGATAAATAGATGTTGCTATATTTTAAGTCAGGCCCACAATATTAACACATAGGCGCCAAATAGACTCGGTACAAAGTAGGTTTTTTTCTTTTTTGGTCGGGGGAAATAGCAGTGCTCTCTATATATATATGTAATATACATACACCTTCCCTCTCTAAAATGTAACTTCAAAACTGACTATTTGAGAACCCTCTTCGACATCAGCAATAGCTAATTAGATCTTCCACTCTCTCTCTTTCGCGATTGAAGAAGATGATGTAGTAACGGTTATTATGTGAATGCACAGTACTCCCGTCTCTCTCTCTCTCTCTCTATTGGAATACATTAATATTGAGTGGGGATATTTCGGTCTACTAATGCATGATATTTTTTTGTTATTTGATGACACTTAAGGGTAATAGGATTTTTTTAGACTTAGATGATGGGTATTTTGGTCACTTAAACCATTTTTTTTATTCAAAAAATGATTAATTTCTGAACAGAAAGGAGGTCTTTGTAAAAATGGGCCAACCTCAAGTGGACACGTTGCAATAAAATAACAAATCTCAGATTTAGTTACAATTAGACCAAACATTAGAAGAGGTCATTATAATTTATTCAAATTTTATTAGGTTGTAACGCCTTGGTCTGGCCACAAAATTAGCAGTTTGGATTCAGTTGAAAATGGTTCTATTCCTCCCTTTCCACTGAAGACCATAAAATTGCATAGACCTACATATCCAATCACCCACCAGTTGTCGAAGACAACCATGCATAGCCTAACAGATGCTTATTTCCTCAGCAAAGTAGTCCTTATTGTGAAGGCAAAAGGATGAAACAAATAACAGTAATAGAAGACCTTATCATTTCAAGGATCATTTGCAAAAAGCAAAAGAATATGGAAATGAAATCCTTGTAATCAACTTAGAAAAAGGTTGAATATATTTTACGGTCTGAACAACAGAAGACTTGTTGTTTGATAACTTAATTTAAGCGCTTATTCAATTAAGTGTGTTTAATAACGCAATTTGAATATAACTGAAAACGACAAACACCGCTTAAAATGGAGTAAATTTTTAAGTAACAAAAACATCAGTTATCACTTAACGGTGAATAGGATGTTTTTGGCCTTTTCTTGTTGAGCTTGGGGTATGCCCCAATTTTCTTTATAATTACTTTTGTCTTTTTAATTAATCTTATTTACTTACCCAAAAAAATATATATCATAAAATACTTATTTTTTAATTAATACTTGAAAATTTCAGCACTTAAAATTCTAACTCTTAAAATTTTCAGTTTTTTTATCAAATAGCACCTTAATTTTACTTGATAACTCAATTTAGCACTTAGGGCCTATTTGGATTGGCTTTTCAAACTATGCTTTTGACTTTTGTTACTTGGAAGCTGTTTATAATGGTGTTTGGCTGATCAAGCATAAACAAAAGCTATGTCAATCGAGACCTTAATGTTGAACAGAATAAGCGTAAATTATCCCGTTAAGAGTGTATGATAACGCAATTTAAGTATCACTGAAAATGATTAGTACCATGTGCACTGAATGCAAAACACTGAAAAAATAATAATAAAAATCCCCCTCAAAATAAAACTTGACACCTGTGTGTATGCCCAATCTTAGCGGGACATATCCAATTGGAAGCTTGGTAACAAAGACCAGACAAGGCCGGCCCAGTCCAAGAGAGGAAAGCCTAACGCGTGAGGTCCAGGTCCGATTCTGCATTATGGGCTAAAATGAAGGAGATGATTCATAAGAGCAGGTTCATCGGCCCCTAAGAAGTCCGTTTCAAACCTATAAAGGACCCTCTCTCTCTCTCCTAGGGTTTTTCTTTATTAATTTGCGACTGTTCGTTCCATTGCAAAAGCGTCTTCCTAACCATGACCAAAGCACAAGAAGAAATCAAAATCAAAGAGCTTCAGCGACAAAATGACGTCCTCCGCCGAGAAAATGCTGAACTGCGGGCAAGGGTCGAACGAGCAGAACAGTCGAAAGGGCCAAAGAAGGGTACAGCCAGTTACTTGGCAGCACAAATAAGATGGTGGAAGTCACCGTTCACCGATGAGATCTTGCGATTGGAGAAGCCAAAGAAGTTCGTAGTGCCCGACTTCACGCCCTACGACGGGACCGGAGACCCGGTGGAACACATCTATCACGTGGAGCAGAAGATGGTGTTCGATACGGAGAATGATAGCCTGATGTGCATGGTATTCCCCGCGAGTCTAGCAGGGCCAGCCCTCCATTGGTTCATGGACCGGCCACCGGGATCGATATCAAGTTTTCAGAAGCTATGTGATTTGTTTATCAGTCAGTACTTCTTCAATTGTCCGGCCGGTAAACGCCTTCCCATGGAGAATTATGCTCAGGAGCCGCTTTCAAAAAGACAAAAGACCTATCAGAATTTCGGAGGAGGTTGAAGTCTTCAAATTCTGAAAAAAGGGAACAATTATGTGATTTCAAATATTCTTTTCCTTTATTGACAATTCTATGTGAAGCAATTTCTACGGCAAATTAGCTCTAAGCCTTCATTTATCATTTGCTTCTGAAGATATGTAAGCCTTCAAATTAGCTCTAAGCCTTCATATGGTGGTTGTGAACACTACTCAAAGATATAAAAAAATAGGGTTAATTAGAACGACATCCCTGAGGTTTGCTATATTGATAGTCATATACAACTTAGCCATTTTTTGAACAAAGACATCCCCTAGGTTTACAAACTTGAACAATGACAACCCATTTTAAAAAAACGGAGCCAAACACAGTTCCTCACCTAAAATGACCAATGACCAAACTACCCTCGCAACTCATCTCACTCTTTCAACATCTCATTATCTCATCTCATCTCTCTCTCTCAACCCAGTTCCTCCTCTTCTTCCACACCCTCCCAATCCGTAAATCAAACCCAAAATTCTCTCTATCACACACACACACACACACACAGTATCTCTCAAACCCCCATCTCAAACCCCTAATCTCGATTCTTGCTCGCCGATTCCATGTCGCAGTTCCTCTCATGGCCGACCCCTCCACCGGTTGAGCCGCCCGCCGTCGTCGAGTGTCATGGAGTTGGGTTTTAGATTCGTGTGATGGGTGACTATCTCGATTCGAAAAGCACTTTTAGGACGACGGCCGGCAAGCAAAATGGAGTGCTCATCCGGTGGAGAGCTTGACTGTGGATAGATCGGTCGTGGAGGACTCGCGGCGGCCGATGAAGGTTTGGCTGGTGAGGGCTTGGCCGTGTTTAAGATGGCCTCGGCTGTGGGCGACGGGAAAACGGCCTCGGTTGTGGGCGACGGGCTGTTAACACTGAACATCGGTGAATAGCTTGGCTGGATGGAATCGGTGGCAGTTGGCTTGATTGACTTCGAAACGGCGATGAAGGGCGCGGTTGACTGACAGCGGCGGTGACGGGCATTGACTAGTCCGAGTTGGACTCGGTGGTGGCAGAGCTCGGATGTGGTGAGCGAGGTTGGTTCAGCTCGGCGGCGGTGGCGATGGCTGTGAGTAAACGATGAAGGAATGGACTGCGGTTATGGATGGCTCGGATGAGGGCAACGGCGGGACGGTGATGGACTCGGCTGTGGGCCTGTGGCGGCTTGATGGACTGCGGCTATGGATGGCTCGGATGAGGGCGACGAGGGGACGGTGATGGGCTCGTGGCGGCTTGATGGATGGCGGGGAAGAAGGGCTCACAGAATGAATGGGAAGATCTAAAAATTGGAAGAAGAAAGGATATTTTGGATGAGGGTAATTTGGTCATTTTACATGGTCAAAGGGTAAACATGTATTCTCATCATATTTGGGGTGTCATTGTTCAAGTTTGTAAACCTAGGGGGTGTTTTTGTTCAAAAAATGGCTAAGTTGTATATGGCTGTCAATATGGCAAACCTCAGGGGGTGTGGTTGTAATTAACCCCAAAAAATATTTACTTTTAAATTTGAAAACTTTAGCTCCCATACTTAATTTTCAAGAAATCGTGATTTATTGAATTTTCTTCTTAATAATAAAATTAGACAGCAAAAGCTCAAATGGTAACACTCATCTGCACCAGCCTCACATCAACTTTTTCGAGAGTCACATCAGTAATTCCAAAAGACACGTTAGCACTTTTTACTTTCTAAAAACATGCACTCCATCAGGCTCTCCGAATTTTCGCTCTAAAAATAATAATAATAATAAATTAAAATTAATTTTTAATTTTTTTTTTTTTTTTTTTTTTTTTTTTTTTTTTTTAACTTTTCCTAAAGGCTATATTTTTCATCTTATATAATGAAACTTATTTGCTTATCTGAAAATCATCAAACTTATTTGCTTATCTGAAAATCATCACTATATTCATCTCTCTCTATTATAGCAAAATATCATCATCTATCTTTTTCAATTTCGAAATTCGAATGGCTTCGCCATCACAAGTTTTTCCTTTGGCAGACTTTAATTCTTCATCTTCCTCGTCATCCTCTTCGGAAGATGATCATTTTGGGGCGTTGACTCAATAGGATCAAGACGAATTCTATGAGATTATGAATTCAGTGAGGCCAGAGATAATTGAGCAAGTATTTCAAGTTAGTAAAAAGAAGCGGTACATTCATCGTGACTGAGAGGGAAACCACTATCAGCTAATGAAAGATTACTTCGACGAGAATTGCACATATCCACTGGAGTACTTTCACAGGCCATTCAGGATGCGACGAGAACTTTTTCTTCGTATTCTTAATGATATCAAAACTTATGATGACTACTTTGTCCAAAAAAAGGATGCGACTGGTCGTCTGGGGTTGTCTTCTATACAGAAGATGACAATTGTTGTCCGTATACTCGCATATGGTTGTGCAGCTGATTACTATGATGAGTATATTAAAATCAGCGAGAGCACTGCTATTAAATGCTTGAAGGCATTTTGTAATGCTATTGTTGCTGTGTAAGGGTGCACACAGTTCTGGTTCTCACGGTTCTGGTCGGAACCGGAACCGAAACAGTTCACGACGGTTCCTTGAAAACGGAACCGAAACTGGAACCGTATAGTATGGAACCGAACCGGAACCAGAACCATAGAACAGGTTCGGTTCCGGTTTGGTTCCATAAGAACCGTTAACTGTTTGATTTTTTTTCCTTTTTGCAGTATTGTAAGTTGTAACACTGAAATGTTCCTCGAATTTAACACTGAAATGTTGTAAGTTGTAAGTTGTAACTTGTAACTCAGTAGTGTTTCATAAAATTAAACATTGATATTAGCCAGCCACTCACAGTAAGCTCAATGTTTACAAGCAGGTTTGGATTTATGAGGATGCTGATGATGATTCAAATATGTATGTTCACCATGATATCGTCATTCCAGCATTTCCCCTGTGCATAACATGGCTTGATTGCCCACTTAAAGGGTGGAGATAAAGGTGTGACTTAACCAGATTTTTTGGTTGAAAACTATTTTTGTGCAAGCACATATACTTAGTTTCACCTTTCCTTACTTAAGGGCATGGCGAATATGAGACTAATGAGAGATGCATATCCACTTTCTTTCAAGATTGTGTTTGTTTTATGCTTTTTGTTGCCTTTTCTACCGAAAGTTTACATGATTTTTAAATGTGATGTGTTTTATCATCTACGATAAATAAAAAAAAAAAAAAAACAAATTCTTATTTTTAGAGATAAAGAAGCTATTATTAATGTATTGCTGAATGGTGATTACAATTGGAACATAAACTATGTATTTAAGACTCTGAAAGGCTAAGATATAGCATAGTTATTTTGATTTTGGAGGTTCAACTGGATCAAATGTTAATTTTCTATGACTTCATTATTACTCGGTCCATGGAAGGGGAGGTCATCACTTAAGGAGACACCTTGCTCAGAAATTTGACCTCCAGCCTTATCTTTACTTCTTTTTTTTAGTATAAAATTAAATATATAATACATATCATCTATATATATATATATATATATATATACACACACACACACATGGTTTCAGTTCTTACCGGTTCCCACGAGCTGGAACCGGAACCGTATGTACACGGTTCCTAAATTTGGAACCGGGACCGAAACTGGAACTGTGAAAACCGGGAAAAACGATTCCGGTTCCGATTCTTTTGTGCACCCCTATTGCTGTGTATACAGAGGAGTATATGCGCCCACACAACTAAGCTGACATAGCACGGCTGCTTGAAAAAGGGGAGCAGAGATGATTTCCGGGTATGCTTGGTTCTATCGACTGTATGCATTGGGAGTGAAAAAATTGCCCAGTGGAGTGGCAAGGCACACACAGGCCGGGGACGATCTGGCAAGAATACTCTCATATTGGAAGCAGGTGCCTTACAAGATTTGTGGATCTGGCATGCATTCTTCAGAATGCCGAGTTCACACAATGATATAAATATGTTGGATCATTCCTCGGTATTCAACGGTATCATTAATGGCCAATTACCTCCGGTTAATTATATAGTGAATGGATATGACTATAGAATGGGGTAGTACCTGTCTGATGGTATATACCCTAAGTGGGCAACTTTGATGCAGACCATCCCGCACCCAACCACTACAAAGGAAAAATTATTTGCTCAGCGATAAGAGGCAGCAAGGAAAGATGTGGAATGGGCTTTTGGGGTATTACAGATCAAGTAGGCAATAACGCAAGGACCAGTGCGTTACTGGGAGAAAGAAGACTTGCGCTTCATAATGACAACGTGTATCATCCTTCACAATATGATCATTAAAGATGAGCATCATGCAAATGTTGGAAGATGGACTCTGCCACCGGAGGATGCAATCCCGATTCCCACTTTAAGTAGATGCCCATCAGTTTTAGCAGCACATATATCCTCTCGCCAACTTCAGATTCGCAACAAAGAGGCAAATACGAGGTTAAGGAATGATTTGATGGAAAATTTGTGGAACCACTATGCTGATGAAGATGTTTAATTTATGTTGCATTTTGTTTGTTTTTAAGATGTTATGACATTTCGTGTACTATAATTTTTATTATGTAATGGTTTTTTAAGATTAAAAATAATGAATTGGAATAAGAAAATAAGTATTACAAAATTCTATGGGAATAAGTAGACGAATTTGTAATTTTAAATTTTTTTTTACAAAAATTGTTAAAAAAAAAGTTTTTTTTTTAATTTATTTTTGCCCCAAATAAATAAAGATTACAAAATAAGGATTAAAAATAATGAATTGGAATAAGAAAATAAAGATTACAATTTAAAGCAAAAAAATTTTTAAAAAAAAAACAACTTTTAAGGGAAAAAACAAAAAAAAAAAAAAAAAAAAAAGCTTTTTGAATTTATTTTTGGCCCAAATAATTTTTTTTTTTTTTTATAAACAGTGCCTAAACAATATATTTTTTATTTAATGAATTTTATTTTATTTTTTTTTTTCTAAATGGAGCTAAAAATAACCTATTTTTAGGTTTTTTTATTTAAAAAATAAAAATCCTGCCAAACAGTGCCTTAAGACACTGTTTGCCGACAAACAAAAAAAGGCAGCAATCGCGGGCCGGTTTGCTGAATACCGCAAGTCGTCCCGCGAGCGAAAATGGGCCCTACCAATTTTAGCTAGCCCGCTGCAATTGACACAGTCCATTGACTCGCCCAAAATGGGCTTTGAAGAGCCCGCTCCGGATGGCCTTAGATACTGCAATAAGCCAGTAACAACCCTTCATTAGATAGCCTCGGTCCATTCAAGAAATGGTCCATAGTCACACAGAGTCAATGGACTGTATAGTAGAGAGGACGTCCAAGCTTTAACACATGAAATGAATCTTATGATTTGAAAGCATGACAGACTTTTGTGCGCCATTTAGATTATCTAATGATCACCTAAATTCAAGATTTAAAAGCTAACAAGCCACAAAATTTGCAATTTGGAATTGTTCCATTCATTTCTTTCCACTAAGACCCTATAATTGCATAGGCCACCAGTTGTTGAAGACAACCATTGCATAGCCCAACAGATGCTTGTTTCCTCAGCAAAGCAGTTCATATAGTGAGTAAAGGGATGATGAAACAAATTACAATAATAGAGAGCATGACCATATCAGTTCAAAGATTCCTTGCAAAAAGCAGAAGAATATCGAAATGAAATTCTCATAATCAACTTAGAAAATGGTTAAATATATTTTCCAGTGACAGCAACAGAACACTGACTACTTCAAACAGACTTTATGGTTTGCAAGTATTTTGAAATAATAATATTAGGATCAGCATGCAGTTACATAGTTTAGAATAAAGTCCCAGAATGCTCATATGAATAGCACAGGTGACATATAATGCACCCATAAGTGACAGACTTCCCCCAATTATATCTCACTCGCTATAATTACAATGACATTTAAAAACCTCTCTTTATATAATTTTCTAATCCATCTTTGCTGCATCTTATAACACACATCAATAAATAACAAAATCTTAAATCTCCAATTACAATTGCAAGATGCATTGGGCATGCCCTGACTATGTTGGTGTATATATATATATATATATATTTGATAAGTAAAAGTCAATTAGAAGAGAAAGGAGAACGCGTCCCTAATACTAAAAACCAAAAGTTGAATCTAACAACGAATAGAATCCAAATGATCAACTAAGTCATTTGTCGAGGAGCAAGCACTTCCTTTTGTTAGAGTGTTTCTCAATTTCATCATAGTACTTTATTTGAGGTGGAGAAATCTTTTGTTAAAGTGGAGCTATGAAGAGATCCTTGTTCAAGGTGGAATTTTGAAGAGATCCTTGTTCAAGGTGGAGTACGTACGTGAAGACATATTTTGATCATGTGTTAATTACGCGAATAATTGGGGTGTTCAAACTTGCGGATTTTGGCTACTGACAAAGTTGAACAAGTTCAACTAGGGTTGTATCGGATCAACTTGGACAGCAAATTATTGAAAGTTGCGAGAAACAGTACGTTTCCTAATCTTGGGAAAAAGCAAAAGATTTGGGAAAGACGTTGTGCATCTATTTTAAAGTTGGAAACTATATGGTAACTCCTTGTAGGTGTTAGAGATTGATATGGTAACTGCTTGTAAGCAAATTAATCATTGTCCAACAAGGATTTGAGTTTGAAAACTCTATAATTAAATATGGGCATGAGAGAGAAAGAGAGTTGAGTGAGAGAGAGAATAGTATGTAATCAAGTTTTTGAAGTAAAATTAGTTGTTCTTCACCCGTGAACTAGGCAATTTGCCAAACCACGTAAATCTCGTTTTTTTTATATGTTATATTTGCCAATTGTGTGTGTGAAACCCTAACACCTTTCACATAACAGAAAATAGAACGAAGAATCATTTCCTTCGAAATTTCTGTTATTCCTCTCTCTCCATATGCACCATTAAACACAGTGTGGAACTATCCTCCAATAGTCACGAGCGTGACTTTTCACTGGGCATCTTTTCTGCGCATTAATCAGTCCTATAGAGGACTGAGGCATTACCCAATGTATGCCAGAAATGCCGAAGATGAGGTTCCAACAATCATACGCCACGGGATAGTGCATAAGAATGTGATCGACTCACCATCTGTTTTACATAGACAACACCAATTAACAATAGTGTTACCTCTCTTTCTCAAATTGTCCAACGTCAAAATCTTGCCCCAAACGGAAGTCCAAACAAAGAATGTGACTTTAAGTGGAGCCTTAGAACGCCATATAGTCTTACATGAAAAATCATGACCAACGAAATTGGACAGACAAAAGAACATAGACCGAACATCAAATCTACCATGGGTGGAAGAGACCCACAAAATGTCATCACTACCTCTGCCAACATCATTCTGCTAATACAACAAATCCAAAAAAAACACATACCCCTTCCACCTCCTAATCCTGAAAAGAACACCTAAAACGCATATCCCACGTAACCCCACTTCTATCAAGCCGATAACAGTCAGCTACGCAGGCGTGCCTATTTTCGGCAATACTATAAAGTCTAGGAAAGGAATAAGACAACAACTGATCTCCACACTATAAATCCTCCCAAAAGCGGACACGCCTACCATCACGAACCTTGAATCTGATGTGTGAGGAAAAGACATCCCAACCCTTCTGAATGAATTTCCACACGCCGACACCTCCCGTAACAGAGACTGGACGGGAGGACCAGCCACCACTCTCCTCCCCAAAACGACACGAGACAATCCTTCTCCATTGGTGATGTCGTTCCCTACCGAATCTCCATAACTATTTTCCCAATAAAGCTCTATTAAAAGGAACCAACCTTTGTATGCCTAAACCGCCTAACTTCAAGGGTTTGCAAACTTGCTCCCAGTTAACAAGATGATACTTGAACTCATCTCCCCTTCCACCCCATAAAAAGTCCCTTTGAATTTTTTCAATCCTTTCAGCGACAGAGTATGGGATTTAAAACAAAAATAAAAAGTAAGAAGGAAGGGACG